TTTACGCAGCAAAATTGAAAAACGCAAGCAATTATCCAGGGAAATGAATTTCCAGATCACGATTGATTTTCAAGTTGAAAAAAATACGGGAAAATATGCGAAAGTTGAGGAGAAACGTATTGAAGAAATTAAAAAATACCCAGCGCTTTGGCATAAAAACGACACTAACTATAATAACAAAAATATCAAGGAAAATGCGTGGCAAATAGTGGCTGATGCTATGAATGCAGCCTGTCAATCAATGTATTCAGGTAATATAAATGCATATGTTGTGTTGTGTTTTTGCATAGTTTCAGCACCAAACCAAGTGTATTCTAAAATATTTTTGGCCCAGTAAACAACTACAAAGACAGAATTTGGAAAAACCTACGCGATTCATATGTCCGTGTGTTAAGTGGAAACGAGAAAAAAAGTGGAGCAGGTGTGGATGAAATTCCACATTATCCATACCTTTTAGCACTGTCTTTTTTAAAACCTTATGTTACTATTCGAACAAAGAATTCGGACAGAAATTTCCAACCAGTTGTTTAGCAAGCTCTTTCAAGTCCATGCCAAGATCCACTTACCATCACATCTGAGCCTCCTACTAATAATTTAACAGTTGGTGTTGAGGCATTTTCTCAAGAAGAATCTTTCCCTTTATTTGAGATTATTGAAAACGTTCAAAATGATGCTTCAAAACAACCAAGAAAGAAAAGGTCTTATGCAGCAATGTCAAAAAAAGAAACTTGATCGGGCCTTGGATGTAAAAATCATGGAATATTTACCTGGTGGCGAGAAATCCTTGCAAAATCAATCAGCTGTGGTAACTGTAGAAGATGCAATTGGTAAAAGTGTTGTTGCTCAGCTACATTTGTTGGATAAAGAAGCAAAAAGTAAGGCAATGAGTAAAATTTAAATTGTTTTAAGTGAAGCAATCTCTTCAATGTCAACAAACAGCTAGAATTATAAGGGTGTAGCGTATAATGAAGTGAAAAATTTAAGTTATTTAGCTAACTATTTCAGTTTCTTAGAAAACTCGTTGCTGTTTGTAAGAAACAGATTATTTTTTGTTCAGTTGAAACTTAAGTTTGATAATTATATTAATATAACTTATTAATAAGATGATGTTATAAATGTAAAATTGTTTTACAGAAACAGGTTTATTTTTCTTGTTTACCATTATTTTGCACATATGAATTTTGCCAAGATTCTTCCACTTCTGATGAGCAGAAATAATTCGTCAGTAAATTTTGCACAGATTTGGCATTTCGTGAATAGTTATTGCTTCCTTGTCGTGAAATTTGTTGCAGACCCGTGTCTCCTTCTGTCAACGATTGCCATCCTCCTGGCAGGTTCTGTCCATACCTATAAAAATTTCTTTAGTTATAACATTTTAGGTTATTGAACACTGTGGCAATTTCAGAACTGTATGCATTCTTGATAATTTTTTTAAATATTGATATTATCATGCACATGTCATATAATGACCAGTTTAGATGCTTAAAATGATAAGACCATAACCAACTGACTTAAAATTAGATACCGGCATTCAAAAGTTTTATATACAATAGTAACAATAAGATAAAATATACTAAGACAAAAAAAATCATTTTATAAGCTCATGATGTAAGTTATCTTAAGAGTAGAAAATAGCAATTATACCTGTCTTCTGTGTCAACAAATCCAGCTGGGCAATACCTTTTTGATGAATTAGGAATACCGAATTCTTCTAACATCAAGTAATTATGAAGTTCACAGACTGCTTTAGTTATACTTGCCACCTTTTTAGCTGAAGCCATTATAGGCCTTCTTAGCATCCTCCACCTAGCTGCAGTGATTCCAAATGCATTCTCAACAACTGTCCTTGCTCGTGACAGACGGTAATTGAATCAATTTGGATGAGTTTAAAAATTCATTGATATAGTAAATTCGGAAGTCGAGATTATGTTGACTCAAGACAATCTCTGGACAGCAGCGACTGGATGATCGACCAAAGATAATAAAACCCTTCTTGATGAACTGTCGAGTGGATCTCTTCGCTTCTCACGTAACAAGGCAAATGTCCAATTACATCAGTTGGAGGCTAGACCCAGAAGCTCGACACTGGGATGCCTTTACAGAGAACTGGAAGGAACTTGCAGAATATGCTTTCACACATTTCAACTTGGTTCCAATGGTTCTCCAAAAAGTGGTAGCGGATCAGGCCAAGATTGTTTTCATAGCACCAATTTGGCAAACACAACCTTGGTGGCCAAAACTACTCAGTCTTTTCATTCAAAAACCAATACTACTACCCAACAACATATATCTCTTGAATACCCATATAATCTTGCTCAGATTCATCCAATGCACCCAGGTCCAGGGGCGGATTATCCATTAGGCTAAGTAGGCTTAAGCCTGCAGGCTCGGGTTTTCAGGAGGCCTGTTGTATATAGACATTAGGAATTGAATGTATTTGCTCTTCCGGGCTAGCTATATATGTTTAACTTAGATGATTTATGCTGTTGAAAATGTTACATGCAATTGAATGCAGTAGAAAAATGGCTTTCGTACTATCTACTGTTCAAATGCGCAATGCTCTGACCATGTCAATGATTTTCGAAATTTTGTTTGAACTTTAAAATGAGCTGTTTCCCATTTTTTACCTTTTTGGGTTGCAAACAAGAAATGCAAAAGCAAAAAAAACTGAACTTATTGGGAGGAATAGATATCGCTTAAAGACCCACAACTTCGTCTTAGCCTACAAGCCCCGTAATTAGTAATCCGCCACTGCTCACGTCTGTACTTGAGCGTATTTCATACATCAAGCAACGTTACGAAGCAGAGGGATTTCCCGAAAACGTTACTAAACTGCTCATATTAGCAATTCGTAGCCCACACGCAAAACCTACAAATCAAGTTGGCAGCGTTGGAGCCGTTGGTGTCTTCAAATAAAAATTAATACTATTTTATCAAGCTTGAGGAATATTCTAACCTTTTTAGCCGACTCTTTTGATTCAGGTTTGGAATATCGAACATTTAATGTTTTGAGATCTGCCCTATCATAAACCCATCCACGAATCTACGGGTACCTTGTCAGACAACACCTACATGTCATTAACCTATTGTAAGGTATTCTAAATAATCGCCCCCCTCAACCTAGATATTTGCACACACTACTTTCAGCAAAAGGGAGACAAAAAAAACAAACCATTAAAGTTAAAGCAGCCTTCTTTGAAGTTGGCAACTCTCTTTGCTTTGAAATGCCCCAAGACATCGTCTTCACTTTCCAAATTGGACCTAAATCATTATCGACTAACACCAGAAGGCGTAAGTTTCCATTCATTTACCAATAAAACAACTTCCCCAGACGTAACAGTTTCTGCATTTTATACTTGTTTCCCAAAGAACAACAAATTATGCCCTAGCAACCGCATAGCTAAGGAAAGTTAACAAGGACGGGCCGAAAAAGATTTTTCTTTCATTCAATAAACCTCACAAACCAGTCACTTCCTCAACATTGGCCCGTTGGATTCATTCATCGCTGGAATTAGCGGGTATAGACACAAAAGTGTTCAAAGGACATTCAAAAAGAGAAGCTGCAATATGAGCTGCCGCTTAGGAGTCCTCTGGAAGAAATCCTAAAGATGGATGGAATAAGGAATCGACTTTCAGACAGTTTAACTATAGACCAGTATTACCAACTCCAAACTTTGGTCGTGTTGTATTAGAAAACCATGTTCAAATCTTAACGCCTTGTACCTATGGAGTACATATTATGTACCATTACTGGTTGAACATAGTGTTAAAGTCTACCGCTAGTATTCTCATATATCCTACCGGAGTTCTCGAAACATAATTCGAAATATACTCTGGCTGTTACGGCTGAAATTGCCATTATTTAAACTAGAGATGAAGTTGCTCTTCTTAAAGGTTATAGAAAAGCTTAGTTCCAAAAAAGGCGTCCTTGCCGAGTCAAAATTGAATGTATGACACTAAGACAGGTAAGATTACTTTTGTTTTACCATCCTCGTTACAAAAGAGGTACAGGTGTTGAGCTTTTGTTAGAGGTGATAAAATAGTCGTCATGAGAAGTTGGAATAAAGAAGAAAATTGAGTCAAAGCAGCATATTGTTTTACAATGGAAGCAGTTGTTTGTGGACATATCTTTATTCAACGAATGAACTACGTGCGTGACGTAATCAAGTTGCTTTTAATTAAGAAATAAAAGATGTTTATTCACTTTACTGTGTTTGCACAGGCTTATGCAAACCGAGGAGACCTTTGAGAGAACTCGAGAGCAGATTGAGCTGATTGAGCTCAGATGTGTTTTGCACTGGCTAATCCAAACTCAGCTCTAGACCAATCAGCGCACGCGTTTTATTTTCTTTATTTTATAATCGCTTTTGTATGGAAAGACGTTCCGGCCAATAGGGTATCGAGTTTTAAAAGCTATATTGAGTTCCAAAAAAATACTATCGAGATTTCATTTCTCCAAAATACAATAACGAAAACCTTGAGAAAACCAATCCAGTTTTAAAAATACTGACTGAGAGAACATATCGAGATTCCTTAACAGCCCATCCAATCAAGTGCTGGGAAAATTTAGACGTATGATTTTTATTTCACCGTTTTGTTGCGCATAAATTTCAATACTCGTGTGATAAAACATAATATACTGGTATTTTTTTTTAGTGGTGTGGAGTGGGGTGCTTGTTAATATCCTGTTATCTGTCCATCACTAATCTCATGAGTAATGACCAGTGGCGTAGCCAGCCCGCAAGGTTTGGTCCTGCTATGTAAATTCTAGAACATTATAATTATTCATTTCTTCAGACATCTGTTGTTTTCACAGTGAGAGAACACAAAAAATAACATTGCAGGACGAAATTTGCGGGCTGGGATGTCACTGCTAATGACATCAGTAGTTTAGTAGTTTATACTTTTCGTCCACTTAATAATTCTGTCTTGGACAGGTTTGAAATATATAGTAATAAAAGACCATAATCTAGACTGACAAAAGAAAATATGTACGTAGCTATACATAATACGGATGTTAATCGTCAATTTTATTTTTTTACACATAAAAACAAGCAAATAGGGAAGAAAATACTAAAATAATATTTCTGTACACTGCATTTGAGTTCAACACTTCCCTGTCTCTGGGATTACTCAACTTAGTTTATCATCTGCGTTTGTTTTTCAAAAAGTTCCAGAGTGACGCTGCTGAGGAAGGCTGGGATCGAATTGAAATGTATTAGATATTGGTCGATCAGATTTTTCACTTGATGAGAAAAGTCAGTTTCAAGGAGCATTGTTTTGCCATTAGCATTGCACTAGAAAAAAAACAGAAATGATGATTGTTGAGATAATTTATCATAAATTATCATCATTGTGACGCTAGCATATAATATTGATATTTTTCAGTAACTTGTGGTATTTTGATAGCAATTACACCAGGATAATATTATAAACAAAAGTGGTCAAAAAACGATAAAAATACGGCTCAAATGTCTCTTATGAAATACTCTTTATTCAAACCTGTAACAATTACCTGAAAAAGAAGCGAATCAGAAGATCGCTCAGCGTACATAGATTGCAACTTGTACTGTTGATCTTGTACGACATCAATACGATAACCAGTCAGAGAATAACAAGCCTCTCTAAATTCTTGAATCTTTTGAGCGAAAACTTCTTTCAATCTCTTGTTTCGACGTTCCGCGCTGGATAACTGTTCTTGCAAATCTATGAAAACACATTGCGCTGATTCAAACTAATTCTAATCGCGGGCTCGTGTGATCTGTAAGAGAGCACTGGTGCAGTGAAGACGCTTCATTGGAGATTGTGTAATTAGTAGGCACTTTTTAAATACCTAAGTACATTTTTGGTTAGTTTTAATGTTTAAACCAGTAAATGATACTAAAAACAGGAAAAATCAATGCTAAAATGTGCTAAAACAGTGAAAAATGTGTAAGAATTCAAAATTCTTCAACAATCGTGGAAAAAACCAAAAGAAAAGTGTAAAAATATGTAGGAACAGACAAAATATTTGTGTGCATTTTCTCATCAGAAACAAATGATTGTATGGTTTTTTGTATAATATGAAGGAACTCGTGCATGTTTTCCACAAATACGCGAGAAATCGTGTCATTGCCTTAATATCGAAAATAATAGAGTGATTTAGCAAACACGACGTGTCGTCTAAGACATCGTCAAATTTTCGCGAGAGATCTGGGTCTAGGACGCCACCACGTCGTAGGTGGCGTCCTAGTATTTATGTATTTATGTACAAAGTATTTCTGATTTAGCATACGTTTTGTAGGATTTCGTCAAAGAATAGTATGAAATACGTCTAATCCATTTCGACATTTTTCCAGCTAGATCGTGTTTTCCGATTATTTTAAACTGATTTTTTGATATCAAAAATATACTGCAGTATATTCATTTCAATAAATCCATAAATAAAAGCAAAATCATCGAAATACAGCTTTGTGACTAAAATTGTTTTACTCCGAGGAAACCCTGCAATTAGAGTAGACCCCGCGTTGTTTATTTCTTTTTCGCTTTAAGAAAAAAATATTCGTAGTTTTTTCTCAAATGAATATATGTAAGCCTATTTTCCTTATTTTTCTCTAATAATTAAGTTTGTTTCAGCCGTCGTAGATACGACTTCCAAATTGTACGTTTTCACGTCGTTGTCGTCAACACGACTGCCGTCGTAGATTGAAGCGGAAGTAAAACGCGCATACCACGCCATTTTCACGGCGTCTTAGACGAAACGCTGTGTTTGCCAAATCACTCTAATAAAATGCAAGGAGGCATTCATGCAAGGAAAAAAACATTCTCACATTTTGAGCATTTAAGCTTGAATTGTTGTTTTACCATTGTCAATATGTTATTTTCAAACTTCACACTATTGAATTACTTACCTTTAACCTCGTGTGGACTTGCTTCCTCAATAATGATTTGTTCAACTTTTGAAACACTTGTATTAGGACCTTCTTCTAGCATTTTTACTTTCTTTCGTAACGTTTCACATTCCTGTCGCATGTTTTCCAGTTCGGAAGATCGCGCTTGCCGCGCATGCGTGAAAGGATTGTGTGAGAAATGAACAACCTTAATTTTACTGGGGTCGTAATCTCCCTAAAAGCAAAAAAGTTATTAAAAATGGTCGCTGCTTAGCAGCCACTATAAAAAGTGTCATATAAGGACATTTCTGAGATTAAAAGTAAAAATCGTGCAACCATTATTTACCTGCAAGTTTCTCTGTTCGATGCGAGTTTCAAGAATGTCGATTTTTTCTTGCAGCTGTTTATTTTCCGACTGTAGTTTCGCCACAACATCTCTAAAAAAATCCAAATCTCAGTTTGTAGAGTTATATACTCTGACCTCACAACACCAACGACTGTTTTCATTAATGTAAACACAAGAATGCTCATTATGACGTGCAACTAAAAAAGGAAACGCAAAGCATGCTGGTAGTAATATTTATTAAATGCCACCAGGACAACCGACAATGGGAGAAGATTTGTTAGAGTTTCCGATGCACTTTTAGTTTTGAGAAACAATAGTTAGTGGGGATATGGAAACGGTAATAATTAATAACATTATAAACAACAGCTCTGGACTTAATGAAGGTGACATAAAACAAGCTGTCTTTAGAAATAGAATGGTGTTGGGTAACTATTTAGCCACAACGGATTAAAAAAAAGATTTTTGCATTATCATCACATTAGACATGACGTGTAGCGTCATAGTGCGCACTGCCTGATCATCTGATATTAAGGCAAAGGCATTTTCGAGTATATGGATAATGATTGTGGAAGGAGAGTTCCTCTGCAAAATATTAAACGGTAAACAAACGCTGCAAGCATACAAACTTTTAATGTTTGAAGCTACTTAGGCTTAGAATTTGGATTTCTGGGGTAAAACTATTCAATAAACTGTTTCTGACAAAATGAAAAATATAACTACTATATCTAGGCATATAACAAAAGAAAAACATATTAAAATCTTAAAATTTATTGCAACAACACAAGTAAACAGACCTTGATACTGATTGGTTTTCATCAGTATTGGAAGAGCCTTCTTCGACATTTTTGTATGGCGTTTTATTCGGATTCATCAAATCATCATATTTAATCTTGAGCTGCCAATTACATTGTCAATCATCAGCAAGATATTCAAAAAGTTAACGACAAGAGCAGTTTTCATGCACATTTTAGAGTAGAGATACTGCTATTCGTGTCAGTGATTTACTCCACTTTCACAATAAGTTAAAAAGGATTGAAGAACAGACATTTATTGATTCGCCACAAATTTTGTTACAAAAAACGTACGCACAATAATTATCAAGAAATGTCAGAAAAAGTCTTTGAAACATTTACATATGGTATATACATGCGTTCACCTGGTTATACTTCATTCTGGCCTCGCTGTTTTTGAGTATTGTTGCCTTCAAGTCATTCTAAAAACAATGAAAAGAGGGTATTTATGATTTCCCCGCTTTGATTTTGTTTTACTTCTTCAAATTGTGAAAAAAACGAGTTTAAACTTTTCATGCAGAAAAACAACCAAAACGACACGCTCAAATTATTTGGTAAACAGATATCAGTTTACTCTTACGTACAACAGCAAAAAATGGGTACGCATTGGCCAAAAATTTAGTATGTGATTGAAAATGAAAATGGTGATGTTATAATTTTGATATTATTGTAATGAAACGTTTAAAACTGCTAAAGATTTTATAAAATATGCTTTCTGCTCACTGTTCCTTTAAATGATCCATTAAATGAAAAAGTCATTACTGCGTTTGCCGAACGCCATTGCCAAGAACATATACCACGTGACTGTTCTCACATAAGTCAAGTGCCTTGGTAGTCAGGCACATACTGGTATCAACACTCACGGTTTTTTGGGATAAGTCATTTTTCTGATAAATGTATAGTTTAAAGGATGCTTAAAACGATTCCACATGTTGGACATCTTGGATTTACTTGAGGGATGATTTCAACAAAATTTTTCGCTTCCCTCGTATTCAAATTAGTTGCCGCCATGTTTTTATGTTTATTTCACAACAAGAAGCGAGCCCACAATGCATTTTGACCAGCGCCTGATGGGAATAGACAACTTGCATTACTACGTCACATGGGAAAAGGGCGCGTTGCATTTTGGTCTTAGTAGTCACGTACATGAAAACATTGCAATATGGCTAATAGCGAAAGAGAGTTTACTCCTATTCTTAGTCACGTTTCAGAGTCAAAAAGTACGACGGAAGTCCCAAGTTCTTTTGAGAAGTCTTGCCTGGGTCTTCAGGAGACTTCTTGATAAGAAAGTTGCGGCGAATCTACTCTTGACGATGTATCGTCAACAGAACGAAAAGGCGGTGCTGATGGATTTACATGTTGTGTAGCTGGTTGCTTTTGAAACAAGAAAAGAAATCATGAGCTTTCTTTTTACAATTTTCTTGGAGGTCAAAGTAAGGAGTCTCTATACCTTCGAAAGAAATGGATCAATCTTATTTGTCGTAAGGATTTTATTCCAACGATCGGCCACCGAGTGCGTCCTCTACTCTTCCCAGGCGAACGTAAGAGGTATTTAAATCAATTGCCAACTATTATTCCGAAATCCACACAACTTTCTCAAACTAGAGTTTAGAACCTCGTCTCGCTCTCGGTGAATTTGAAGCGAGTGAGCTTTTAAAACCTCGTCCAACTGAAAAAGCAAGAATTAGAACGCCTTTTGTTGGAATTACGAAACGCTTGAAACCAAGCAAATTGTCTTGTCAAACTAATTTTATCTGAAATTTTATCACTAAATAAGAAAATGAGGTTGGAAAATCAGCAACTGAAAGCTGAATATGCACAAATGCACGGTGGCTGGTCGTTGAAATAAAATCCTTGAGAGAAATAAGATTGATCCATTTCGTTCGAAGATCTTGGGGATCCTTACTTTGACCTCCACTGACCTCCAGGGAAATTGGAAAAAGAAAGCTCAGAGCTTCGTTCGTTGTTTGAAAAGAAACCACGTACACATGTAAATCCACCAGCACCCTCAACCCGTTTTGATGACGATACTTATATCATCTAGCGTAGATTCACAGCGACTTTTTGAGTTAAAAGTCTCTTGAAGAGGAACTAAATCTAGTCGCTTTAAGTCTGTCTTGCCAGTTACCACTAACAGACTACTGCTTTTAGAATGAAATCAGCAATAGATAAACAATGAAAATACGTACTAAATACAAGTACAATATGTCGTACTAATTACAAGTGCTGAGCTAAAATTAAGATTGTTTTCGATTGTTTGAGGGGAGATACCCGTTCGCGAGTGAACACTATTTCCGGGAAAAGTACAAACAAAAGAGAGTAGAACAAAAGGCTAATTGTAATCTAATGATGTTGCATCCATCCTTTGTTAACGAAAAGAAATAAATCAGTGAAAAGTGAGTTTAGTGTATCGACACAAGTTTGGTAAGGTGCAACGTATTGTTTGCCTGAACATGGTATAATTTATGTTTGTGATCACATGCAAAGCTTGCATTTGTCTATATTGAGCTTCTAGTTTTGACTAAATTTATAAAATTATTTAGGGAGGCTTTATGGAGAGCACGATGATTCGTTTGGCCAACCGATAAATGGAACTCAGGTTTACATCGGTATGAATAGATGACAATACATCATACATGTTTGTTCGGGTTATATCGTTTTGTTTTTAGTATTTGTTAATATTTTTGTAAGATTAAGCCTCCAACAATTTTGTACCTTTTTTACCGATTGGTTATGTTTGATCTTTGAGGATAATGCCACGTGGACAGACAAATTTGCCGTGTAGCAAAGTGGTTAGCCGCAAATGCACAGCGGGCACCAAGTAGCTAACAATATTGTTACTAGTACAAACATATATTAAGCTACTATAAGTGAGGCTGGTGCCATGTCCAAATAGTTTACTTACAAGCACAGACAATAAAGCTACGACACGGGAAAAAAATTTTGCAACGAAAGCCTTAGAAACTCAGTCCTAAAAGTTCAAAACAGCCGATTTAGAACGTTTGGTCAAATTACACAAATGTCAATGTTCATATGTAAATTCATCAAATTTTGTTAGATCGTGTCTTTTTTAAAAAAATATGCACGAAAATCGAAAATTACACAGAAACACTGACGAAATATGCACACGACAATTTCAATGATTCATTACCTCCAAATTCTCCACATAGTTGTTACAAGTCTGCAGCTGTTCCTCTGCCTAAACAAAGAATAAGAACCTCGAGAAAAACTATCTATTTTTTAACTTCATTCATGTAGAGGAAACTCCTAGACTTCGTCAACTCAAGAACGTGCAAAAGCAAGTTACAGAGACTTTTGTTTTCAAAATGTTTTTAATGTCCATGTAAAATACACTTCATATAAATCAGAATAAACGTTTACACTTATGGTAGACATGTTAAATATTTTAGGTTCTTGAATCATTTGTGGCCAAGACAGCCAAAACTTATATCCTTCTAAGGTAATTATTCTGCTTAACTATTATTTTTAATTTTTGTATTATAGAAGTAAAAGATCGGGCTGTCTTCGTCATATGCTCAGAAAAACTCAATTCAAACTGATTCGTTTGTCTAAAAATGAGGGTTTTTAGAACGTTTAAAAATTTAAATTGGGACAAAAATATATTTAGAAGGAAAAATATATTTGGGGGTGGGTACCCCGGCATCATGCCCCCCCCCCCGATGAGAGGCTGTTCATAGACAGAAGTTTTAAAACATAAAAAATCAACAAAGGGATTTCAACATAAACATGGAGCGCACAAATTGTCTTGTAGTGACTAGTTGAAATTTCCACCTTTCTAAATTTTCGAAGATTTTCTAGCAATCACATCAAACTTATGCTGATTTTACAAAGTAGAACGTTTTAAACTTTTAGAATGTACTCGTCACACATGCATGGCTTGACATATGTTAAATTTATGGTCATTTTGACTTCGTGCTCACCAATATCGACGGTGAATATAATACTATAGTAATTCATCTAATAAATTTTTATAGTGTAACTTTTAAAAAGAGTAGTCCGACAATTACTGAAGTTCAATATGCCTTCATTACTTGTTTAAGGAAATTCTTAATCTATAAAATTTCCTCGCTGGCATAAAAAAGACAGGATGCCTCTGTGCAAATGCTATTACGTAAAGCACTATAGCACTCGGTTGACTAACATATTCGTAACGCAGTTTAAATTCAAACAAGTCAATAAGCAATCATCTTAAAGAAAATTTGTTTTTACAAACCATTTTCACACGACTTGATAGTTGTGGGGAGTAATTTGAAGGATCTCCACCGTCATAGGAATTCAACAAACGACGACAACCATTTCTTTCCTACAAAGAAAAATAATTCTAATATTATTTTTAGTCCTACGATCTGAATTTCCACAAATTTGACTTCCACCAGTGCAAAAGATAAAAGGATGCTTACGGTGGAAACGAGGGATAGTAGTTTGTTTAACCTCTTGAGTTGTTCATTTTGTTCATTATTTTTTTCCTAAATACACATAAACACATATAATCTTTACATATCGAGAAACATAAAACGTATGATGACAATACAAACAGTTTGCATGCTTACCTCGAGATCAGACTGTTTTAATTTCAATTCAAGAAGTTCTTCCGACTGTTGACGTAATGCTTCCGAGCTAATCCGGGCACTAAAAAATGTATCATACTCATCGAGAAAAAGGAGTTTATTTTGGTAATTTACTCTAACTCAACATTCTTCTAATTGTAAAATAACAAAAAAATGGTGGCAAAATAATTTCTAGCAAGGCGAGTGAAAGGCGGAGAAGTAGGATTTTTAGCAACGGGAGCATACATAGTACAACAATCATAACCCAAGCAGACTAAAGGAAATTTGGAGACAAAAAAATAAAGAAAAGCTTGGTAGGCACCTTGTTGATGCTTCTCCATGCTTTTGTAATAAAACAACTTGTGCTTTTTGAAGTCTTGCAATTTCTTGAACTAGCTCGTCAGGCGATCTGCAAATATGTACAAAATTGAAAAGAATACAGGACATCAAAGCAATTTATTGCCATGCGAGCACTTTTCATGGGTATGCATGCTAGTATCTTTTAAATTTAAACGATATTTTATTTTGCTGTTGAGCACAATGTTTAAATCATTAACCGAGCATTCATCCAGTAGGTAAGACAATGTAAGAAAAAGTCAATAAACGTTCTTTCCTCCAACGTAAAGCAAGGAAAATAATGAAAACGCATAAATTCAAATAGCACTAACCTCATAATTCCATCAACACCTGCGACTTCCCATTTTTTAATGAAAGCTCGTTGTTCCTGTAAAAAAACCCTTTCAATAATCATATATTTATATAATACCATGCAACACATGCACTGTTCTGATTGGTTGATTGGTCAACAGTTGACCTTCTATGCTGGACACGCCTTCACTATGATGGAAAACGGTCAATAATTGAACATTCACTAAACGGTTACTGTGTTTGGATCATTGGATGGCCTGATCAAAACACGCGGGAATTAAGCGAGAGTTAAGAAAAGCGCGCGAAGCAAAGGCGAGTGCTTAGCACAGTTTTTCTTAACTCGAGCAATATTTAAAAGACTTCCGATCAAGAAATCTAAACCCTTGAAACCATTTAGAAAATGTATTATAAAAAACCAACCAGAGGGTAGTGTTGTAAGCTTTATTTAATCAAGCTGAAATACGAAAGCTAAATTCTCCCAAGCGAACGAAGCCGTAAAATTTAGTAAACAGCGAAGTCAAAAGCACGAAAACGAAAACCTACAGCCAGGTTATTGACTTTAAAGTTTGGGAAACTCACCAATCTTAATTTAAGTTCGCATTTACTTGGCCAGAAACGCACTCCAATTCAATTTAGGCAAAAAATCGTTTTCGTTTTCAGGTATGATAAAAATGCTTACGACAGCATACTGACGATAGAAGTTTCAATTTCCGTGTTTTGATGACGTGATCAAAACATACGCATCGACCAATTAAATTACGAGTTTTGCTGATGTTATTTTATAACTAAATTTCCGTCACTTTTAAAGTAAACCATCAAAAGCAACAAAAGTCAGAGATGTTGAATAAGACTGACTTTAGAGTTTAGGTAAAACAATCAGCCCCAATTACGTTTCGTATGCAAAAATGAAATGGGTGAAAGGCAATGGCAAAGATAAATAAAACAGAGCAAATTGACAAAAGTTAGGTCTTAGTTATATTTGAGAGAGCTCTTGCGCAGGCGCAGGTTTTCGGTTTCGAGTTGTAATAATAACAGTAATAATATAAATATAATAAAAATAATAATAGTGTGCTATTGAATGGTAGCAAACTTCTCATTTCGCCCAGTAAATAAGCTCCTGACGAAATAGAAGTTAGTGTTAGATAATTGAAGAAACATGTTAGCAAGTTTATTTAAAAAAACTATCAATTTAACGATGTTTAGAGCATGCATGTAAATAACAACAGGTTAAACGTACTTCATACTTTACTTCCAATTGTTCCAGACTTTTTAGCTTCTTTTCAGCACGCTTTAGTTTACTGCTACAACTTTCCAACTTCTCATTGAGTAAGGCATTGTTTTTAGTCGTCACCCTGAAGTAGTTTATGATACACTATAAATACGACATTTCATGCTACAAACTATTACTATTTGGGGGGAAACTTTATAATGACGAGCTTAATGACTATGGTTTCGATAAAAGGGATACAAAGATACAAGTTTTAGCATCAAATTACTCGTACAGACGACACATTACATTGAAACAAATAAGTCTTCTGAAAGCAAAAGCTTTATGATTTCTACAAGTTTATTCATTTAATTACGCCCGAATGTGAACAACGTATCTCGTTACATATTTGAGCATCATATCTCTCTAGACAATTAATCTGACGATAAGAGTTTCTAGTGTGGAGTAAATAAGTACACGAGTTTAAGTTTTAAACATCTGGGGCCGGTTGCACAAAAGGTGGATAACTTTTGAAAAACTGATAACTTTTATAATCTGTTATAAGAGATAAATTTTCTTCAGCGAAGATAAATTTTCGCAATAAATTTGAGATTATATGAAAACACAAAAGTGAGGTATAACAATGTCTCCCACCCTCCCATTACGTTACGTTATGTTTTCTTTTCAAATAAATGATTGAACCCGGAGTATCGTTGCATGTTCGTAAATTTAAATCGTCCAGGTGAGTAGAGTCCTGAAAAGGACAGTTGATGTTTATGTTGGCTGACGTTTAGACAACCTCAGCGATAGTCATTTTTTAGCGGTGGTTCTGCTCACGGGAGTCTCTGTTGTGGACATATGGGGGTCTCGAAGACCAAAAAACACTAAAAAAAAGAGACGAGTTTCAGAATGTGAAGTGCAGAAACTCCAAGTAGAGGTATTGGAGTTGAAGAAGGAAAGGTTGAAATTGGAGGTTGAAAATGCCAAGTGTATGCATAAAAAGTTAAGCTTGGAAGTTCATCAAATGGAGACAAAACTCCACAACAATGAACAATAAACAAAGTTTATGAAGTACAAAAGTTTTACATATATATATCAATTATGATGACATGCTGAATATGTTAATTTGCCAGTCATCATTCATTACTATTTACAATTAACAAAAATGTATATTGGTTATGCGATTTCTTACAGCATTTCCTGAATGTACACCTTGATAATGAATGCCTGCATTTAAATCTTCATTATCTCCATCTGGTTCAAGTTCATCCTCAGGTTCATTGTAATCAATTGCAGTGTTGTGCAATATAAAGCAAGCTGCAATAGTGGAGTACTTTTCTCTCTGGTGTCATTCGAATCTCACCATGTAAAACATAGAACCGTCTTTTTAGAAGACAAAAGGCTCTCTCTATTGCTGAGCGGGTGCTCTTTAATGACCTATTTAAGGCCCGCTCTTGCTTCGTTTTTGGGTTTGGGAGGTGTCATTAGGTAGGGCAAGCGGGCATAACCACTGTCCCCCCAAAGAACACCATTATCTAAACTTGTTCCTTCAAGATCTTGCGCTACTGATGATGTGCGAAATATATGGCTGTTATGAGTTGAGCCAGGCCATTTTGCCGCCAAATTTATGAATATCCCTGTTGAGAAAACGAAACATTGTAATACCTATCTTCAATAAACGGCAGCAGTGAACTTGCTCTTGTAACATCTTTATATGCAAATTAATATATTTCGATTTACATGAAGTTTGCCATACCTTTATGATCACAGATTCCTTGCACATTAATACTGTGATTACAAAGTCTGGTTCGCTTTCTGTTGGTGTGTTATTCGAACGTGTGATCTATCAACACATCCAATGACACAAGGAAAACCGGCATGTTCGTAAAAACCTTGTTTTATTTGTTCTTTCTCTCTGGTTTTTGGAAATTTGTCAAACTGATCGAGCTTTCGTGCAATCGCTAGGCATACCCTACGAACTACGCGAGTAATTCTAGACTTATGAAAGGCAGCAAATGTATCACCAGTGACTTGAAGAAAGCTTCCTGTCGTTAAAACCTTAACGTTATCAATATTTGTTTCGTAGCCAAAATGGAGTAGCTACGTTTCATCGGTGGGCAAATTTCACCATAAACAATGCTCACTATGAATTTAATTGCATTTTTTTCCGAAACGATATCGGGCTCGACACTCCTCTTCGCCACATTATTCAAGTATATTTTTAATTTCTCGTCTATATACTCCCCCACACGAACTTGGACTTTAGAAATATCAAGAAACGGCAAACCAGGCATTCTATATAATACCATTTTTCATTTAAATAATATATTCAACTTCGAAACAACTGACTCTATCGCAACCCCCAAAATTTTATCAATTGGATAGTGTATTTAAGCTACCTCCGAGCCTTGGACAAATTTATCCTGTGGATAGCGATTTTTATCCACTGAATAAAGTTATTGAAGCTTCGTGCAACGCAAATTGAACAATGGATAAAATTTATCCATTGGATAGCAAGTTATCCGTTGAATAGTGACTTATACACCTTTTGTGCAACCGCCCCTGATACCAATATAAATAAACTCAAGTTTAAACATCTGTCACTCCCAATTAACACGCTAGACTGTCGTAAAAAATTCAAGTTTTAAAATTAACTCATTGTTAATGAAGACTCCAGAACTCAATATGGAGCAAGAAATATAATGCTTCATATAAACATCAAAGTTAGACAGAAAATCCGAGTTTTAGTTTTGAATCATCAGCACATTAGAAAGCAACGACGCGTAAGTTATGACACCAACGCGTGGAATGAGAATTTTGCGTCCAGTGCGATTGAGATACGTAAATTGAACTAACTTTAAATATAAGTTTTCCTCCTTAAGTTTCGAGTTTTGACATTCAATTTCGTTGTACTTTGAGATCTGACTCTGCATTGTCATGGCAACCTCAGAGGCCTCCTCACAACGAGCGAGTTTCTCTTCAAGTTCCTGTGTAGAAATAGCAAGACTCAACTTAAACCTTTATGCAGCAAACATTTTCTTTGCCTGAGTTTCATTTCGTTTCGTTAGTGTTGCCGATTGACAACTGTGCTGTATAAAAGGTTAAAAAAAACAATACTGCCACCCGGCGACATCTATAGTAGATTGCAACACTCTCCAACTAGTTTCCTCGTTACTCATCGCGAACGGTCCTCGCTACGAGACTCGAAATCCGCAAATTGTTTTGCAGACGTACGTCGAACGAGTGATAAAGTTTTGTAGTCGTATAACCTTTTACACAGTAATTTTTCCTAGATTGAATTTCATTCATCTCCTTATTGAAACCGATTGGCAAAAGTTCTGCAAAAACGATTAAAATCGAACGCAGCTTATTACTTTGTCAATCGTTGACTTGAGTAGCAATTCATACCTCAACTTTGTGCTGCAATCCTTTATATTTAGCATGAGATTCTTCCATTTCATCAACATGCGTAATTGCTTCAGAATAACGCCTGTAAATATGTATTCAGCAGTACGATAAGGTCAGCCGTGTTAAAGGCAATGTAAACCAACAGAGGTGCGTAATTTTAGAGTGTATAAGCTTTGTAAAAACTAAAATATAAAGATCAATTTTCCACTTTTGTTCATAGTAAAAACTAAAAAGCTTTAGGCCATAATCTGTACATATATTTAAAAGGCCTATTGCATGAAGCTTGGATCATCAAGATTATCCATTTGATAGTAGAATTTTGAGACAAGTAAAAAAAGTATTTGAATTTTCCTTACGACAAAGAAATTTTTGTCATCTCAGAAGCAATATTTTATTTCAGCGATTGCTCAGTTCAAATCTTATATTTTTTCCTCATAAGAATTTTCCTAACGTTCAAAAGCTTACCATGCTTTGGATGCCGCTATTCGGCCTTCGTGAAACTGTCCCCTGGAGTTTGGAATGTTTGAGTTACAAAAATTTGGCGTAAAACGTTGCCTTCGTAAAGCACAGTTTGAAATAAGGACCGAAAACACAAGATAAGGTTATTTTAGGATAATGGTTTCAATGTTTAAAGTAATCAAAAGAAACTACTCGAGCTGCTTACGAGAAAAATTGAACACCAAAATAATTTCAATAGCAAATGTATTTGTTTGAATCTCAGAAAAATCTTTGAAATCGTTAATCGGGATGTAGTTTCACATTCACCAGCCAAAATGATGGCTTGCAAGCGGTGATACAAAAACACGAAGTCGGTAGGAATTTTCTTAAATCGAAGTCCCTCCCCTTTTTTGTCTTCAAAAACTTGAACATTGCGACAATATTGACCGAACAGCAAAAAAAACCAGAATAAATAGTAATGAACAATTCTCGAAAGCTGAAATGGAAGACAGAACTAATTCTCACTTCTTGTAATAGTCCAATTGGTTTTTGCAATCTTCCAGTTTGTTTTCAGCGATGAAATTTTCCGTCTCTTGTCTACAAAAAAATAAAGTTAATGAAAAATAGATCATAAAGCAATAGCCATAAGAAACGATAGGACAGCATTAAGAGCATGATTATCACCAACAATTCCGTGTTAGGGTTTCAGTACGAGATTATCAAGTGCACACGATAAACTGGTTGCCCGGAATTAATGAAAACATTAAATGAAAAGGGAAACACCGCTTTTCTTTCACTGCACGCTCAAATACGTAGTCCGTACCGAATCACATTCACTTTTTTACCCTGTATCAAGCTTGATTACATACACCATGCTCGAGAGACATTACATCATGACTTAGTTGTATGAAATTGCCCTAACTACCCGATTACTGACAACGTACGGTAAAACGCCATTTGTGACACAACCAAAGATTAAGGAAAATGAGGCAAACCTCATTCAGTAATGTTGGGCAGGAGTAAAGAAACCATTTGCATATAAAGGCGTTTTATTAAAAAAAAGAGCCCATTGAGAGCCCATTTTGAAATTCGCTGTAAACGCAATAGCAGATTTTTAAGACGTCATTTGGTCAGTAGGAGAAACATTTGGCGCCCTGAATTGCTTGAATACAAACACAATAGATAAAATTTCACGATAAATCAAATGCCATCGAAACTGTTAAATATTTTCAAAACTTAGTTAAGCTTCTTACGACGCCAATTGCTTCAAAAATAAATTCGGCGCCATAAGCTTTCCAAACACGTCGAAAGTTTGGTATGATAACGTGTTAGCTTAATTCAAGATATGGCCAATAGCGTCAAATGAACGTTGATTGGGGCTAAGGGAGGAAATGTTCATACATTCTCTTTGCCAGACAAAATTCTTTTGAAAACAATTTCACATTCAAAAGAAATCAGTCTGGCATAGTAAAATACATGAATATGGTCCTTCTTAGCGTTCATTTGAAGCCTTGAATCACGTGCAAATCACATGTTGTGGAGAACAAAGATTGGTTGTTGAGGTAAAGACATTTAGATCACAATTTTTGTGATTGTGCTTATCATTAACCACGTTAAAAATTGCAGTAACTCAGCGTAACTAAAATGAGAAATTCACTCTCTCCACGAAATATTCAAATATAAAGACTACCTTGTTGACTTCTCTTTTAGCTCAGTGATTTGTTTCCAAAAATCTTCTTTCGACTAAATAACAATAGAAACCAAGAATATTAATGACAAAAATAAATGACTAAGTTTGTCTGGGGAGAAAAGCCCATCAATAAGTATAAATCAAGAAATACATGATGAGAAATAATGCTTGACAATAAATTCCTCAGTTTTAAAAAGTCTTTAATAATGAAAAAAATCTGTAATAGTGAAAAAATATGTAATCAAACTGAAAAAAAGTGTAACAGAATGCAAATTTCTGCTTCAAATACAAAGAGCAATTTGTCTAGTTTATTGCCTTCTATAATAAGCAAATAATAATAAGAAGGAATTAGCAATTTTCGTACCTACACTTTGTTCTTTAAAATGAAATGGCTGATCAATTCAATCGCATGCAAAAATCTAGGCTGAAACTGCTTCTAAATATCAACTCATGATTGTAGCCAAAGTTGAATCATTAAACATGTTAAAGAAGAGAGTCATAATACACCAAAAGTTGCCATGTTTTCATCTTACGTAGGTTTACTGAATCATTCAGTCCTCAATAGGAAATTATATGAGCTGGGCCATCTAGCAGTTGCAGAAAACAGTGGGGCTCGTTATCAAGGAACAAGATTTCCCATAATATTTAATTTATGGGAAATCTTGACAGTCATGCTGTATATGTGTGATTTAAGGTGCAAGATTAGAGTCATTATTCATTATTAACACATCATTTGGCAGGGGCTCAAGCAACCACCCCAAGTCTCTGACATTGCTAAGTAGGAATACATAAATAATAATCACACATAACTAGGCCATGATAATTCGTGCCCACATACCTCCTCAATTTCAGAGTTCAATTTCAAAATTTGCCTTTGAAGACCATGAATTTTCTCTTCTGTCTTTTTCTTGTAATCTTCAAACTGTTTTTTTGTTTCCTTCAGCTTATCCCGAACACACTTTTCCTCTTCAACAACATACTTCAGCTGCTGCTGCAGTTCTGAGTTCTTTTCAATCTCTTGTCGTAGGCTTTCTGTTTTGAAAGTATGATATAGAAAGTATGATAAACTTTCAAAGCTTACAGCTTTGCTATTAATTGATAATACGTAGTAAGATACTTGAAAAACATGTAAGCATACCTTTTCGTATTTCTATTTCTTTTTCTTCGTCAATCCTACTCCGTTTTCGCTCGGTCTTCAAATAAAGCGATTCATTCTCCAAATGCGATATCCTTCCTTTGGCACACAACAAAGCAACGTCTTTTTCCCGATCTTTGTAGTCTCTTTGACAAAAAGTGCTATCCAAATGACCGCTTCTGTTCTTAACTTGTGACCTGTATAAGCTGGTGTTATCTATATGGGGTGAATTTTCGTCGAAAGTCAAACGACCAACAATAGGACTAAATTTGGAAGGTTCATCTTCGCATCTTTCACTCTCTAGTTTATCGTACTCCTGCATAATCCGCACAACAGTGGTGCAATCATCTGGCGTTGCCCACATTTTCAACAACAACTGTGCATTTAAAGCCGTTAAAAAGAAGTTCTTGAATAAACTTTACTTTCTAAAACAACAAGTATGAAAATCGTGCATAAAACAGATGAAGTGAAGTTTGTGAATAACCGACTCGACAAATGGAAACAAACCACCACTGACTGGGCAACAGTCTGGAGTGGTATACTTTTTGCTCGCAGTGGAAACTTTCCTTAAATTTTGTTATACGATATTTTTTTATAACTTTCATTGCATAAAACATTGGATAAAACTAGCCAAAGCAGCATTGATAATTTTCTCAACGATCGAATATTAGTGCCACAATGATCTTTTTCGAAGATGCTATGAAAACCTTTATCACAGATGAAAAAGTTCTTTGAGGATTGAGAAAGCTTCAGAGCCGGATCAACTCACTTTGACGCTTGGGGCTCATTTTACGATGGGTGGCCTTTTTGCTTTAAATATCATGTTCTCAAGAAAATCTCTCCCAGATGCAATTACCAAAATTTAAAATTTGAGAACAAAACTCAAAACCCAGTGATAATTACCATTATTATAAGACAAGCTTCACTTCCTCCAAATTAGCGCGCTTTGATTGGCTCAGAAGCATTTTTTCCGGTCCATTATTTTCCCGAAACCGACCACGGTCCAAAACGCGTAATTTTACAGTCAAATGTTAACAAACTTCGTAAAGTAAACAGCAAAGGGCAAAAAAAAAGGAAACAAAAAACAATTCGTGAATGTGAGTCGAAGGAGAAACACTCAGAAAACAGTTGAACTATTCAGACCATACAATTTTCAACGATTTATTTTTGACTGACGAAAACTAGAAAAGTGAAAGCCAACCAAACAAAACAGGAAGGACGAAGAAAAAAGCAAGCTTCCTTTCATGTCAAATAATGCCATATTATAAACCTTTTTAATAACCTTACTTTCTCGGTCTTTACTGAGAAATATCGGACCTCCGTCTTTTTGTACAGACCTCGTCCTATAGGCTTGGTCTGTACAAAAAGACCTCGGTCCGATAATTCCTCCACGACCTCGCGTTTGGTTATTAAGGGCTTAGCTAATATTAATGTCACCTTCACATTAACTAATAATTTCAAGAGTCAAAGAACCGAAAACTTCTTCTTAAATCATTTCTTTTAATTTACTGTTTCGTATAAATCATGAAACGGCTTAGAAATTTCTGTGCAATGCGTATTTTTCCCGGCAAGAATGTATTTTACCCTGGTCAATCATACTGAGAATTATCCCTGTGCTGATTTTGAACAAAAAAACGCATTGTAACATTTGCATTAATTATTCTAGCTCACAAAATTACTGTGTTATAAATCCATTAGGTGGTACCCGAAAAAGAAAAAGTTGAAATCTTAAACACGAATTGCTTTATTTCTCACGTTCAAAAGAAAACCTTTCTCATAAACCTGTAGGAAACTGTTTTAAGTAAAAACTATTTGGAACAAAATGATGTGGAGCATGTGTATCAACAGTTCCTGAGCACATCTCAGCCAATTCATGTAAATATGAGAAATATGGCAACACAGGTTGCAGATTTCGTCTTAAAATATTTTTAGCACCACTCAGATTTTTAGCAAATCATACTTTCGTAAACTAAAATTACGATTGACATGATTTTTTGTTGTTCAGAATCAGTATACATGGGAAATTTTTAGTGCTTAAGCTGTATTAGAAAACACAACAATTTTCATGTTCAAATATTTGAATAATTTTTGGTGCTTGCATGTGTCTTCATGTAAATAATTAATGTACTTGTAAATCGTTAAAGAAATGGAACTGTGCAAGCGAATTTTGAGTAAAGTGTTTGTAGTACTTTCTTAATAAACATAACAATTTTTTAATGAAAATTGTTTAGTAAGAATGATATACAAATGTCTTGTTGGTTCAATCTTTTAGCTATTTACGCATAATTCTTGCACTGTGTAAATCTTTGTGTAAATAAACACTGTTTTCTTTTCCGTAATTAGGGATCCCCTATGTTGAATTATTTCCGTTTTTGTTAGACGATAAAAATAACGTAAATAAAAATGATGGGAATTTTAGTATGTGCACTCATCCTCAATCAAATGACATTATCAGAATTAAATGACATTTCCAGAATTAAACCCAAAAATAATTGCATTTTAGGAGTAAAACCAGGTTGGCTTGGGCTGCTGCTTTTATGGTTTGGTTCCTGGAAATTTATTTTAATTTTGGGAATAAGGATTCGAATGGCTTTTTGTTAAGAAAAAAGTGATTTATTTCAAATGTAAACACTATAATACAATATATATTTACAGTGAAATAATATCAACAACATAAAAAGAACAATCATATACAAATATCTCGTTTAAGAAACAGTAGCGGTATTTAAAAGTTGCCAAAGGGAAGCATGCTTTCTACCTCCCCAATAGAAAGCTCGCGAGTTCTAAGTACCTACAACTCTATCTGTTGAGCTACCAAGCCCACATGGATTGCAGACGAGTCAAAGTCTCTCACGAGTCTCGTTCAAGTTCTCAACGAAAACATAGTTAGCTTTTCATTTCAAGCATCACTAACATTCACTATTTACTTGGATACAACTTTTTATGGTAATGAAGAACTTAGTTGCTAGAGAAAAGCAAATTTATAGTCGTGTGAAAGTGCAAGTTATATATATATATATATAAATCATACCTTACAATTCATGAACGGGGTTTTAAAATTTTAATTGTACGAGAATTTTAACGGCCCTCGAAACAAACAATAATTCCTCTTATTAACAACGCATCGTTTTGTATATTTGGATAGGTATAACAAACACAAAGCTTAAATAACCAAAGCACCAGTGACATATTTTAATGTTGACAGCAGAAACGTTGATTCATAGAGCACATTCAAGGGAGCATACATAGAAATAAAGAATTCCTGAGATTTTAAAATCGACTTCTTTCAAACTTTTCCATGCAAAAAGTGTTTTTTAGAAACGCGACATTTTACCCGCGACGAATTCAGCTGCTTGGGAACAATTAAAAGCGTTTCTTAAAGTATTTGCCAAAGCTATATTTCAGACGTTTACTCATTTTATTTTCCTTTTAATTCGTACATATTTTCGTTGTGGGAGCACATGCAGCAGCGTTTTAAGTGATCGCATAAACTATTAAGGGCAGCCAGATCATGTCACTCCGTGAGGGTTTCTTCTCTTTACATTGTGAAATATTCCCTCTCTTAGAGGCAGTGATTTGTCAAATAACAAACAATTATTGAAAGAGGTGAAGGCATGATATCAAGAATTATTCAGACCGATGTCAATGTTATCTGCTAAAGCGAAGCGGAGGCAAGTAACATTGACCGAGGTCTGAACACTTCTTGATATCATGCTAAAGTCGAATTTAATAATTGTTTCATTATTCACTTATATCATTGTAAAACTATTTTAAAACCTTCGCTAATTTGTCTCTTGTCAGTAGATTTATTCAAGTTCTTCTGCCATAATGTAAATATGTCCAAGTCCTGATTTGTAATCAGAACGTTGTGTATTGTACTCGATATAAAACCAAGATAAGCAACACATGGACATCCTATTTCATATAGCCTTTGAAAAAAAGCATAATAAGAAAATTGTGCAGGACAAAATTGAGGAAAAAATATTGTGCATGAGAAAATTGCGACATCCTCTTCCCTAGTTTCTAATGGTCCATTGTATAGAGAATGAGTTATATCTTGCTATTATATATAGGTAAACCGTAAAAGCGATGTATTTCAAATTGGTAAACCCTGGTATGTTAGGTTTTTTTCTAAGGATGAGGGAGAATTTCCATTAAGATATTGTCTTCTTCTCTCTTCTCATTATTATGTAATTACAAGAAAAATTGTGACGAATGCAAATGAATAAAAATAATTTAATTACGATATTCTACCAAAATATTTGTAAATATTTTACCAAAAATAATTCTAAAAAACAAAAGGACGACTTTCTATTTGAAGAGATTTCTAGACAAGCTGTATGCGCGACATAGCATAACCACTAGCAACGCCGATGGAAATACCAAATCACTCCACCTCTACAAGCCTTTTTGGAAAAACAATGTCACAATTTAGTGGTTTAGAACCTTTTAGATTTTACAAATACAATTTCTTTAATATGTTGAATGCATTTCTTAATGCAAAGAATTTTAACCACCACATCATCGTCATCTCTAACTTGATAGATTGATTCCGCACGGAGAATTTAGACTCTGATAGAACACCAGCGCCGGGCTGTTGTGAATACATTTTAGCGCACTTTCTCAATATATTTATCTGGGATTATCTGGGGGGTTCGCGGTGAAAAGACATTTCATAAGTTATTAATTGCTGTATAGACTCAAATAAAAAAGCATAAATTTGGCTAATAAACAGTTCCCAACTGCACACCAAAAACAAGAGACTGGTCAACATGCTCTTATACAATTATTAAACAAGCTCTAGTTGTCGTCAAACAAATTCGGAAGTGTTTATTCACTCAATATACGAAATTGAAAAACATTTCATGATCTCTTTTTGATATGAAACGCTGTAACAACAGAAACACTAAACAACGTCCAGATAAGTATTATCCATATCCAAACTTTATGCCTGAACCATGAGGCGAACTCGTTTTTATAAGTATCATAGGTTTGGAAAGCCTTTTGTCGCCCATAGTACAAGAGCATTGTCGGAATAATGTATTGGACACCAACACCTGCATAGGAACCGGTAATACCAACCAACATTTCAACATCTGTCGTGCAAAGGGCGATGGCTATCGGTGGCAAAACTGCGCATAAAGGAATCAAAATTCTTTCAACCGGCCAAGAGAACTGTTCATCCCCACGCCTGAATAGAGCCTTCAAGTTTTCACGTAAAGTGATGCAAATAACTGGAAAACTCGCCGATAGTGCAAAGACTGGGTAGAGCGAAAGAATTTTGCTGATGGCAGTGGGATTATGGAGTTGAAACTTGACGTATAGACGTCCTTTATATTGACTTTCTTGAACGTAAACAATGCAGTGAAGGAGAGAAGGCTGTAGAACAACAAGGCAACGCCGACATCAAGGAACAGAATGCTGTTCACGTGACGCTTGCTCCTTAATGGAGTAATAAGAGACGGGAGGGAATGCTGACACATAAAAGAGTAGACAGAAGCCCCAAACAGATCTGGAGTACCCGAGAAATCAGCAATACTGGGAGTACCAGCCCCCTTATTGCGTCCAAGACGGACTACAGCAACGACAATCATCAAACCAAAACCTGCAAAGAAATATCAACGTTATCATGCAAGCTTCTAGCTCGAGGGGAAGGAGGGTCGAAGTGTGAACAAAACTACGGTGTTCAAATTTGTGATCGCGTTTTTTATACAAGCGTATACGGTATGATATTTTTTTAACACACCACTTTGTCAAAAGATATCATAAAAAGCTGCGACAATTTTGATTTGTTCGTATTAAAATCCGTTTTATGTTTTCTGTGTCTTATCTCACAACTTCTGTATCGGCTTTCGGTGTTTCTGTATTTGCTTACCGAGTCCCTCAAACGATAGTGGAAGCACGACAGAAATTGAGAGGCGGTTGGCGTATTCCAGTGGAAGTGGAAAGGGGCAACCGATCCGAATGTTGTAACGCAATGAAGTTATTGAACACAATGCTTGATAATTCCTAATAGTTATTAAGATTGTTGCTTTTTGAATACAAAATGAACTCGACGGAAATTTTCACTCTTCGGCTAACCCTTAACGATTTTAAAATTTATTGATCATGACAAAAACGTATTGGTTACAACGTTCTGATCAGGTATGGGAAGGGTGGGGGGAGGGGGTGAGGAGGACTAAAATATAATCTTCCAAAAGAGGGGATGGTCTTTTGAAAATGAGAAATCACAACATATGGATTTATACCCAATTTATTTTATGTTGATGGCAAAAAACAGATTTGCATTCTAAATATGTACTCGCTGCCTTCAATTTTCTACGTAGCTAAGCTCCGGTGAACCACTGGGAAAATATAGCGACGTAACAACCTCGATCATATTTGTATGTTTGTAAATGTAGATCGTCCAGGTTGGTATAGCCCTGAGAAGGACTGTTTTTGTTGTTGTTGACTGAAGTTTCGACAAACTTAGCAGTAGTCATCTTCAGAGTCAAATGAGGAGTAAACGTCAGGTTAGCCGTATTTGTTATGTGGTTCTTACGTCCTGTACACACAATACATTGACGTAAGAACCAGATAACAAATACGGCTAACCTGACGACATTTGACTCTGAAGATGACTACAGCTAAGGTTGTCGAAACGTCACAACAACAAAACAGTCCTTCTCCCTGGACGATCTACATTTACAAACATGTAACGATACTCCGGGTTCAAACCATTTACCTTAACCCTCGATCATAGAAAAAAATTAAAAGTTGAATCCTGTGTACGGAGATTTGACCAAGAAATTATGTCATCAACTTACATAACCAGCGCAACAATGTTGTGATGTATTGAATGTATTTTGTCTTCTGTACGTTGGTGAATGCAAATGGACCAACCAAAACGGCAAATGCGGCCTAGTAAGAGAGAAAATTGCAAAGAGATGGTAAAAAACGTACAGGCTAAAAAACAAACAGTGATCAAGAAAAAGTGTCAACCACACGAACACAAAAACGCATTTGATAGAAATTGAGATTTTTTTCACTCTTTCGATACCAAGATGTTTTGAACTTGTTAAAGCTTTTTCGTAATTCTTCACAGTTATAAAAACTTATATAGCTACGGTGAAAGTTTTACACAAAAACTAACATCATGATCAAACTATCTTCTTCACAGACAAGCAAAACTTTCTTCAAAAAATAAAGTTTTCTTTGGATAATGGAGAAACATACTTCTATATCTACGATGTAAGACAGGTATAAATAAATAATTGGTGAGCTTCCACAAGGATTGCGACTACGACTAAGATCAAGCAATTAGACATCACCAGGTATGGTGTAACAGAAGTTTGTCCAGTATGAGTCACAAACGTCACTTCCGTAAAATGAATATAGCTACCGTGTATTTTCCCAGCTAGCACACAACGTTATCACGACGTTATATTTTGGTCATATTGTGGTTTGGTCGGAAAAAACCTAAATATGACGATTATACAACTTGCATAATGGTTGTGATTTGGTTAGGACAAACACGACCACAATACGACCTTCTTACAGCGTCGCGCTTTGGTTGTGGTTTGGTTAGGTCAAAGACGACCTAAGACAAACGTCCAAACAACGTTATTTGAACGTTATGAAAGTGAAGCCAGGAAACATCACAGGGAGGGACTTTCACAACGTTTCAATAAAGTTATGACTAAACGACAAACTGATTTCCGCATGTTGACCTTTGATCGCCATTTGGTAATATATTTGTTAAAGATTCATTATTAAATAATTTCGGACAAATTTATGGCCCGAATGAATTGCTTCAAGTGTGATGGTTTTCCCTCAACCTACGTCGTTTTGATTGTATTTACGCCAGTATTTTTCTTTGGGTAAATTAAATAAATACGGAGTGCTCGGTAGTGGCAAAGTTAACGCGTTTGTAAATCTTTGGTGTTTTTACAATATGACCATCCAAATTAGCAGCCCATCTCGACAACTGAAATGAGGTCACGTCTTAAAGAAACCGCGCGATGAAGTTGGTATTAGTCAAAATTAAGAGGATCTACTCAATCATCCATCTCAAATTGAGAGTTTTGTTTTATAAAAGCTGAATTAATCTTAAATTCTGATCAACTTTAAGTCGTCGCAAAACCTCCTATAGTTATTTATACTAAGTACGTGTGAGTGTTTGCACGTGTTCGTTTACCAAAACGTCCAATGCGTTGATCTTACCTAAAATATCCATTTCTATTTTAGATCACAGAATCTTTAAGAAATGATGTAGGAATGGTGAAATTGTTACATTAGAATGAGCTTTGATTTCTTGTGTTTTGATTTTTGTCATTCATTTGACATTTGATTCAAATCTAATTATTTCTTCTTCTAAATCATTGTATAATTATGTAACATTCAAATAAAAAGTAAATTTTATCATGAATTTGTGAGTATTTCAAAGTTCACAGTCTGTATAGTACATATTTATTAAAAGTCTTAGGTAAATAAAGTCGCGAATGTAAAACGTCGCAACAACAGTAGTAAAGGACGTTCTAAGAACGTTCTTAACTTTAACATCCTATGTAATACGTCAAAGGTTTTGTGGATAATGTGGTGGTGAATAAAGAAATATTATATTACCCGCATATATTTATTTATATTTATAAGCTCCATATCAAAGCAAAAGCAGATTTTTATAAAAGTCGTAAATACGTCGAAGGAAGGTCTTTCCCCAACGTTGTTCACAACGTCGTCACGACGTTCGCTGGAGTCTACAAATTTCCGTTTTCAAGACGTTATTTCAAGACGTAAACGTAACGTCGCTACAAAGTTTTCACAACGTCATTGTGCTAGCTGGGTTAGTGCAACCATAGGTAATAAAACACTATCGGTAAATCGGAATATAGATTTTTTCGACAATACAGGACTGCAGTAAAAATATATTTTGCATATATTTACTTTATATATAGTTTGTATGCACTTTCCCAGAAACATGCATGGAAGTTTTATAGGTTTTGGTTTTGATGTACGGCTACATTAAAAAAAAGGCAAATACGTAATGCCTGAAGACAAGTTTTGTGGTTTTGCCCAAAACTTCGTACTCAGATTGACAACAGTTATGATTTTATGGCGTCACAACAAAAATTCGCCAGCAAAAAATGACGTACTTCGTTTTCGTAGTTTCGCTACAGCTTTCTGTATATTCTCTTTCCAAAACGGTTTCAAAAGTATGAAAAGTAAACACCAAAAGTACGTGTCTCGTTTTCAACGACCCTGCCAAATTACATATAGTTTTTTCTACAAACATAAAGCGCTTTTGCAAAATCTTCCAGTGACGAAAAGCCAGATCCCATAACTAAGGCGAGGCATATATGTTTATATAGGTATATTTGTATTTGTTAAAGAAAAAAGTGAGAACAACGATAATTTTATCCCGACAAGCCTGTTTCGTGATTGCTCATTCATCAGGGCATGTAGTAAAAGAATATTCACAGTTATCATATAAATATATATACAGTTTTGTTATTTAAATAATTGGTTAGTTATTAGATTACATATTAGTTATTGCGTAGAAATTCGTGAGAGCACAGTCATAAAACATTTACAATAGACAAATTTCTTTAAAGCAAACATGCTTTTGCATACTTTATGCCATCTTCAGTCAAAGTGAATCAATATAGGAAGTTTACATGAATAATTATGAATAATTATAGGATCTTTGAAACTAAAGTGATTTTTAATTTTGAAAGATGAAAAAAATAGTTTGATGTTTAAGTCTGTGCAGTAGCTTTATTAAGTTGTGTAATTTCAGTTCGGTGATTTGTGAAATGTAGCCAATGTAGGGTAGTTTGAAGAAGTAAGTCTCGAGTTGGGTAGGTGTGGGTTCGTTTCTGGTGTTTATTTTGTTTGCGTGTTTAAGTCGTGATCATATGATTTAATGACTTTTCCTATGAAAAGTGAGGGAAAGTCGTTTCGTTTGAGATTGTCAATGAGAGAGTTTAAGTCATGATAATAGCCTGTCGACGTGTTGTCAATTTTCTGTATGCGGTCAACGAGAGTTTTAATCAGTCCTGTCTTATACTTTTGTAAGGTGAAGCTAAAGAAGTTAAGTAATAGGCCAGTGTAGATTTTCTTATTAATAGTAGATGTCGTGTATGTGTTTGTGGCCGTGTTTTTAGTAGTTAGTATGTCATATATGTAGCGTCTGTAAAACAATACTTTAGGTCCGTCATAGTTCTTGATCCAATTCTTTTCATGATATCTCATGAAAAGATTGGTAAAAAGGGTGCTAATGGTGAGCCCATCGCGACTCCGTCGATTTGGTCAAAAAATTGTCCGTTAAATAGGAAATGAGTTTGTGATGTGGCAATGAAAAGAAAATGTTTTAGATCTTGTTTTTTAATGGTAAGGCTGGGCTGGTGTGAATAAATAAGATTTAATGAGATATCTATCGTTTCGGATAAGAGGATGTTAGTGAAAAGACTATGGACGTCAAAAGAGACGAAGTAGTTGTTGCTGTTGTTTTGGGTATGTAGTTCGTTAACAAAAGAAAAAGAGTTTGATGTGGTGTAACGTTGGGTATGACAGGGTTAAGTAGAGTGTATCAGTACTTCGAGAGATTATAGTTATATGAGTTGGTGGACGAGACTATAGGTCGAATGGGAGGGGAATTATAGTTTTCTCTATGTTTATGAAGTTTGGGGAGACCATAAAAGCGAGCTGGTTGTGAGCCTCTAGGGAAAACTGAAAAGTACATTTGGTTGTCTATGGAGCCGTGTTTTTTTAAGATTTCTGAGAAAGCGTTGCAGTCTGCCTTCTCTGAGTAGAGTGGGCAGACTAAACATAGTGGGGCCATTAGATAATGACCCCACTCTACTCAGAGAAGGCAGACTACAACCATTTCTAGACACACTAATTACGAAAAACACAGCCACGAACACATACACGACATCTACTTTTCATAAGAAAACCTGCACTGGACTATTACTTAACTTCTTTAGCTTCACCTCACTAAAGTATAAGACAGGACTGATTAAAACTCTCATCGACCGCATACAGAAAACCAACAACACGTCGACAGGCTATTATCATGACTTAAACGCTCTCATTGACAATCTCAAACGAAACTCTTTTCCCTCACCTTTCATGGAAAAAGTCATTAAATCATATGACCACGACAAAAACACAAACAAAATAAGCACCAGAAACGAACCCACGCCTACCCAACTCGACACTTATTTTTTCAAACTACCCTACATTGGCTACATTTCACAAATCACGGAACGGATTAAAATACACAACCTAATAAAACCCTAGCTACTGCACAGAATTAGACATCAAACTAGTTTTTTCATCCTCAAATCAAAAATCACTTTAGTTTCAAAGATCCTATATATAGTCATAACTATTCGATATTTACGCTTTATCACTATAACATATTATCATGTAAACTTCCTATATTGATTCACTTCGCATTGAAGATGGCATAAAGTATGCAGAAACATGGTTACTTTAAAGAAATTTGTCGTGTATTTTACATGTTTTATTGCGTAGAAGTGAAAAAAAATCTTTAACGGCAACACAATCAAAATAAGCTACAGTACCATGTGCAACATCATACACGTCATTGACAACCACAACCAACTCATCCTCAATCCACCAATCCACCACGATAATAAAATACACAGTTTTGAAAAAAATTAAACATGCAACTCTCGACACATTAACTCATGTCCACTTAACGAAAATTGCATACAATCATCAATCATTTACCAAGCTAATGTTAAACGCAAAGACAATAACAAAAACTGAAACATAAATTGGACTTACTGAAAACGACTTCAAAACAAGATATAGAAACGACACAACATCATTCCGACATGTAAAGCCCAAAAACGCAACCGAACTTAGTAAACACATATGGAAACTAAAAGACGCAATCATCGACCATTCCTGGATTCCATATTCTGGCGAATTATCTCTTCCTGCGGAACGTACCACAAATACAAAAGAAGTCGCAACCTCTGCCTCAAAGAAAAACTCATCATAATCTACCAACCTGAATTATCTTCCCTGAACAAACGCAATGAAATAATATCGTCCTGAAGCCATAGGAAGAAAACACTTTTACGTAATAACTAACATAAAATCTAAAACTAACCAATTATGTAAATAACCAAAACGTATATATATATATATATTTATATGATAACTGTGAATATTCTTTTACTACATCCCCTGATGAATGAGCAATCACGAAACAGGCTTGTCTGGATAAAATTATAGTTGTTCTCACTTTTTTCTTTAACAAATATATTTAGTTCTACTTATATGTATTGAGCACTCTATAACGAAAAAAAATCAAAAAACGAATAACGTCCTGTTTGTCTAGGTATATATTATTCATGTTATAGTCCGTAATAACAATTGATTATAAAACAGAAACTAAAAAATAAGGTAGAATATATGCAATGATGAATGTGGGTCCCTTAACCATCAACATGATAATTTACCCGTCAACAAGCCTCAGTTTTCTAGGTACATACCACTATAATTCGATACACCGTATCTTCCTTCAAGCCAAAACAATTATCTTTTTTTGGCGACGTTGTCGAAGAATTTGTTGCGTTGGAAACATTGGCAACATGACTATGGGAGCTGTTAGCAGCAGGACTCGAGGATTTTTCGCTACAAGGAAAATTTAAAAGGAACGCGATGTTTAGTTCAGGTTAATAATTTCTTCCTCAATTATGTTTAAGGAAAAATGTAAAAGGGTAAACAAACCTAACATGACAAGTTATAAGCTATCTATATCAGGGTTATAGAAAAAACTTCTTTACATAATTATATCGATTTTAAGAACATTTGCTACATATTTAATGAGTTCAAAATTTTATCTTTAAGGGCTGTTTGAGCCAAGAAGTAGGTAAAATGACGTAAAAATGAGAAAACACAGTTTTCCTTTTAAACGTTTTCTTTGATTATTCGCTTGAACGATGTCGTCGCACTATACACCTGTGAGATATCTCAAATTTGTAGTGCGGTTTGTTAAGAAGATTTGCTAAGACAGCTTTATTTAGTAAAATAAAAGCTTTGTCTTTATTGCACGTGTTCTCCTTTTTACGTCGGCCTAAGTGGAGTCATCTACTTCTAGGAAACAAAAACCCATGAAGATAAAATTTTCGTCTTTTCAAATATATTGCGAATGTTCTTAAAACCGCTTTAACTATCTAAAGAATTTATTTTCTTTTCTCCGACATCGACACTTTGAACCTGTACAACTTTTCATGTTTCCATCAAAAAAAATCCTAAACACTTTAAAATACACGTAGCACATCGTTACAGGGAACTAATTATCCTTCATTTTATAAAATAGATTTTAATTTTATTTCTCGTAAATTTCAGGATCATGCCATCAGTTTGCAACGCAAGACTTCCTCATACTATAATCAGTATTTTATAAATACTTTAAAAACCACCTAGGAACCATCAGGTTTATCTTTATTCAACAAAGCAAAATTGTTAAAAAAATCTTTAAAAGCGTGTAAAACGTTGATTTGTGTTTATTGCTTGATGAACAAAATCAGTTTTCGTAAGGTTATTCACAACCAACTTATTTTTCACTCTTCAAATAGGCCACAAAAATATACATAGATTTAAAAACTGTTTAGCTAAACAATTAATAAAGACAAGGCAGAACGTTTTGTATTAGCTACTCTTTGAAATGAAAGAGAGAAATATACACGTGATTACACGTATATTTAACTACGAACAACGGAGGCTTAAATGTGAAATGTAATTAAAATGCATTATCAAGTGGGTCAAAGCATGTGATAATGTAATTAAAATACATTATCAAGTACGCTTTTAAGACTTACGAAAACAACAGTTGGAATTTTAAAAACGTGACTTAATAGCTAATTTATCATGACTTCATTCGACTGTACACAAACTATAAAAAGTATTCCCGTTTCAAGCAAAAAAAACCGTCAGGGTTAAAGATAGTTTAAGATCAATTAAGAATTATGTATTGTTGTTGTGGGCTAAAATATTCCAAATAGCTCCCCCCCTCCCTTGATGAACGCTCGAACTTACCAAATCACATCACGCAATGATTTAGGGACGGCCGTCGCGTATATCGCCAGATCACCATAGAGATAAATAGCGATACAAAGATAGAATAAACGAATGCCAACTAAAAAATAGTAAAATATCAATTAGCTAAATAAGTAGCAGAGTGAAACACTAAATAGAGAAGCTTTTAAACTTACTTTTTCCAAAAAACATTCTGGCCATTTCACCCTAAGAAATTGTCAGAAATAGAATACAGGAAAAAACAACAAAAAAATGCCTTCATGTGCATATAACGAACAGAAGATTACGTCAATCACTACGACAACACACGTCAGCCAATGACGTCAGTCGTAAGAAAACGCGAGAAAAATAAGTAGCGTGCATGTTCAGTACATAGAAGTAACCTTTCATTTGTATATACAGATAAAAATGATGTGACTATAATATATTAATACTAACACGGTTTTTAATATGCACATGAAAAACATGTGACTTGGACGAGATTTGAACTCGCACCTACTGGATACTAGTCCGCCGCTCTACCTGTTGAGCTACCAAGCCCACAGGGTTGGAGAGGCAACGTGTTTCGACTTTATTCCGAAGCCATCATCAGAGAATATATATAATATATCTATTATATCTGGCATGGCAGTTTTTCAACAAATGATCTGGCCATAGAAAATTAAACTGATCCGATCATTTGCCCGTGTAAATGAGCCCGCAAAGAAAGTTTGCTAGCCAACTGATTACTTGACTCTCTCATAGCACCGAAATCGGAACATTAAGAAAACACAGCAAAATAATAGTTGCGATAGTGCACGAAACTAAACGTTTTCATTTCAAAAACCTACCCATGTTTTTGCCATTACATCAAAACACGCAATCAACAAAGTATCCTGCTTACACGAGAAAATGTTTGACAAAGAAAATTTTGGCAAATATACGTTTTACTCATTTACACGGATACAGTTATTTAGCATATAAAGGATCTGACAGCGGATCTATAATTTGACAACTGTGACCGTAAGATGCATCTAACAATCAAGAAAGTCAGATAGTCCGTTGCCTGTGTAATCAAAATGTCCTTAGAAATAAAGTTTCGTAGCCACCATCGCGGTGCTAAATTTTTGAACGGTATTCTATAGTTTTCGACATGCTGAACTCGAATTTCTTTGTTCCCACTCACCAAAACCCGCAGTTTTTTAGAACTTTGACGATGAAGATCGTTCCCGTTTTGTTGTTTAGGCGACCTGTTTACTTGAAGTACCCCTCATACCATTTTGAGCTGAGTCGTGGGCTCACAGTATTTTTAGAGAGGTAAACAAAGCGAAATACAATTTCCTTGTAAGAAAGATTATACAAGTTGACAGAATATAGAAGCTTGCTACAGTTTGTTTTATGAACGTAGTATAGTGTCCAGATGTAAGCTTCAGTCAGAAGATGCCCAAGCTGTCAAAGCTCTTCAGGAATTTGGAGAATATTTTGTAAGCACTAAAGAACTTCACAAGAGTCTGGAGGAGGTAAAATGTAAGATTTACCATTCAATGCCTGGCATTGGCATTAACATGGCCAGGTACAACCTGCCACCTAATAAAGATTGTCTGGAGACATACATCAAACGTGCCAATTACCAAGCAGCAATATGGAAATCATCACAGTGCCCCATCAAATCCGTTCAACCATGGATGCAAAATTGACAAAAATAAGTTCTATCGCCATTTACTAGATAGATGGCAGTTGTGCACTAACCGATGTGCTAAATAATTACAATTGTACGTAAATGCACTATTGGTTGCTCAAAAATAAAAATATTCCAGACGAAAAACTGTCAAGTGAGAATGAGTCAATGAAGTAAATGAACAGTGAAAATTAACAAGTAGCATCACGATTTCACATCTTTCTCGATTGAACCTTGTCTTCGTATTATAACACCTCTTTACTAAATAATTCGTAAATTGATTTGACCTTGTAGCAAGCTTCAATATTCTGTCAACTTGCATAATCTTTCATACAAGCGGTATGGAGAGTACTTCAAGTAAAAAGGTCGCCTAAACAACAAAACGGGAACGATCTTCATCCTTAAAATTCTAGAAAACTGCGGGTTTTGGTGAGTGGGAATAAAGAAATTTGCATGTCAAAAACTATAGAATACTGTTCATAAAATTTAGCACCGCGATGGTGGCTGCGAAAGTAAATGTTTTGATGCCACAGGCAACGGACTAAGATAGAGACAAAAATTTGAAAAATAATGATTGAAGGAGCTTAATTTGAATGATTCCGTGAGAGTGCCAAACTAGCTTGTGTGAATAAAACTTTTGTTTATCATTGAAACTCACCATTTCTACTTTCTTTTCGATTTTAAACAGCGATTCTTCATTAATAGAATTCTCTTAAAAAAAATTAAGCATATCATAGAAGGACTGGATTGAATTTTTTTCACTCTGCATGCATTTTAGACGGAAAAAGGGATTGGGAAAATCATCATGCACTAAAACTACACAATTTGCTGAATTAAAACTACAACTATATTCCGAAGAAAAGGTCCAGTTTTAATTCAAAGTTTGTGGAAACAAACAAGATAGTTTTTTCACACAGTGGTGCTTCGAATTATTACAAATTCACCATCAGAATATAAGACGAACTTTTAACTTATTACATCCTTCATAAAATTTCTTCCTGGTAATGTGTTCCACATAGAGCTACTGTATAAAATGTATAGTAGCTAATTGAGACGTCTACACGTCTATGTGAAGTATAATGTGAACGGAAAGCATTTAATGGTGTTTTGAAGTTCAAATTTTTTTGAATGGACACAATAATCAATGCAAGAAGCAATTCGTAGTAAATTTTGATTAGTTGCATCAACTATTCATTAACCATAATACATGAATTAAATATAATCCCTTGCTTTCCAAAAACGAAAAAAAATTGTATTTTATGCATCTTTGTGTATGTATCAAAATTTGTGTCGTTTTTGCATCAAAAAAGTATTTTCAGAAGCTTGCTAGTGAGTTTCTTCATAAACGTATTTCTTTTGGTGGCAAAATACCTATTCAAAACTATGGAAAGCTCAACGGTTGAAAACATGCCTAAAAGAGGAAGACTTAAACTTGTTATTCAAATAACTACTTTGCATTTGGAATCAGTTACTTTCAAGTAATGTTAAAGTTTTAAGAAGAGCCTGAAAGAAAGATCATTCTGTGATGGAAGAAATTATCATACGTATTTAGCACGAATATAAACAAATAAGAGGCGCGCGTTGCATAATAGTTAAAAATGATTCTTTATGTAATACATTTGAAAAGTTTAAATTTTGTAAAATAAACCTAATTCAAAACATCTATCATCTATCTATCTACGTATCTATTGGAAAAATATAAAACGCTCGTTACAAAAAATAAAAGTTGGGCTGTTAATATAATGAAACGGAACATGTTTGTAAATGATGATCGTCCAGGTTAATAAAGTCCTGAGAAGGACTGTTTAAGGATGTTTCGACAACCTTAGCGGCAGTCATCTTCAGAGTCAAATTTTGAACATTTACTTTATAATGAAACGGAAAATAAACACTTTAGGACATGTAATTCGATATTAAGATAAACAGTTCTTTACCCAACAAATTCTTTTCTTCGTTTGTCATCCCTTCATTCTGCAAAGAAAGAACGAAATTTAATCATTGCTTACGTATATGCTTTTAGAACATTGGCCTCAATGAAGCGTCAACCAATTACATCGTGAGATAAGTTTCCTAATTTTTCATTCAAATATTCATGTCTTCGTTCTTCACAAAACCTTAGCCTTCACCGCAACTCTCTAAGCAAAAAATCTATACATATATATTTCTCCTGTGCAAATGGAAATCACTTTATCTGAAAATATTTTAAACTTAAGACAAAACGTACACCCCGTTATTACGAATATCCCGTTATTACGAATATCCCGTTATCACGTAGCTACACCCAGTTATTACGAATATCCCGTTATCACGTAGCTACATCCTATCACGTAGCTACATCACGTTATCACGTAGCTACATCCTGTTATTACGAATATCTCGTTATAACGTAGCTACATCCTGTTATTACGAATATCCCGTTATAACGTAGCTACATCCTGTTATTACGACTATCCCGTTATCACGTAGCTACATCCTGTTATTACGAATATCCCGTTATAACGTAGCTACATCCTGTTATTACGAATATCCCGTTATACGTAGCTACATCCTGTTATTACGACTATCCCGTTATCACGTAGCTACATCCTGTTATTACGAATATCCCGTTATCACGTAGCTACATCCTGTTATTCGAATATCCGTTATCACGTAGCTACATCCTGTTATTACGAATATCCCGTTATAACGTAGCTACATCCTGTTATTACGAATATCCCGTTATAACGTAGCTACATCCTGTTATTACGACTATCCCGTTATCACGTAGCTACATCCTGTTATTACGAATATCCCGTTATCACGTAGCTACATCCTGTTATTACGAATATCCCGTTATCACGTAGCTACATCCTGTTATTACGAATATCCCGTTATAACGTAGCTACATCCTGTTATTACGAATATCCCGTTATAACGTAGCTATCCTGTTATTACGACTATCCCGTTATCACGTAGCTACATCCTGTTATTACGAATATCCCGTTATCACGTAGCTACATCCCGTTATTACGAATATCCCGTTATCACGTAGCTACATCCTGTTATTACGAATATCCCGTTATAACGTAGCTACATCCCGTTATTACGAATATCCGTTATAACGTAGCTACATCCTGTTATTACGAATATCCCGTTATCACGTAGCTACATCCTGTTATTACGAATATCCGTTATAACGTAGCTACATCCTGTTTTACGAATATCCGTTATCGTAGCTACATCCTGTTATTACGAATATCCGTTATCGTAGCTACATCTTGTTTTTACGAATATACCACGTATCCCGTTATTAAGAATATCCCGTATACATCCCGTTATCACGTAGCTACACCATCCCTGTTATCACGTAGCTACATCCTGTTATTACGAATATCCCGTTATAACGTAGCTACATCCTGTTATTACGAATATCCCGTTATCGTAGCTAGATCCCGTTATTACGAATATCCTGTTATCACGTAGCTACATATTACGAATAACCGTAGCTACATCCTGTTATTACGAATATCCTGTGTCACGTACACTTCTGAAAGAACATTTTGTAATACTTCGACTAAAACTATAGCTACCTCTAGGTATATTGCTGATCACTGCCGATACTTCACGTGGCTTTCAACAAACATGTTAGTGTTGTTCTCTCGTTACATGAACAAAATCGATGATTTAGTTACTAAAATATTTTAAAGTAATACGTTTAACCTAGCTTGACAAAATATTACCGAAATGCAGTGCTACTGTACACGTATTTGCGTATTTGCGTATCATACGCGTATCGTTCTGATATCATGCGTAGTATCATACGCGTATCGCGTATCATACGTGTATCGTATTATCATCATATGCGTATCGTATCATATGCGTATCGTATCATATGTGTATCGATCATATGCGTATCGTTCGTATCATATGCGTATCGTTCTTATATATCGCCTGTTCATACGCGTATCGTTCTCATACGCGAATCGCCTTATATACCGTATCATACATCCTATCATATATCAGTATCATACGCGTACGTTATCATACGCGTATCGCTGCATCATAGTATCGTTCATCATATGCGTATCGCTTTGTAACATATTATCGTTATCATATGCGTATCGATCATATCGCCTCGTTCATACATCATATGCATCATATGCATCGTATCATACGCGTAATCATTATCGTTATCATACGTAATCATCGTAATTATCGTACATACGCGTAATCATATGCGTATCGTTCATCATAAAACATATGCGTATCGTTGCGTAATCATATGTAATCATATCGTATCGTTATCATTATATCATAAATCATAAATCATATGCGTATATCATAATGGCGTATCATCATAAGCGTAATCATATTATCGTTATCATACGCGTATATCATACGCGTATCGTTTATCTACTATATCATATGCGTATCGATCATACGCGTATCATCATTATCATCACGTATCGTTGTATCATACGCGTATCGTTCTCATACATCATCCGTATCGTTCTTCATACGCGTATCATCATACGCGTATCGATCATACATCGTTATCATAATCACGTATCGTTGTATCATCGTATCGTTATCACGTATCGATCACTCCGTGCGTATCATCATAATATCATATATATCATACGTAATCATATAATCATATGCGTATCGTATGTGTAATATCGATCACGTATCGTTGTATCACGTATATCACGTTAAGCGTAAACCGTAATCCGTATCAACATATGCGTAACATACTAATCATATGCGTATACATATATCATCAATCATAAATGTATCCATCGCTCAACGCGTATCGCTCTCGCGTATCGTTCTATCATACGTAAGCGTAAATATTATCGTTCGCGTATCGCGTATCATACGCGTATCGCTCGTATCATTATCGCGTATCATACGCGTAGCGTTCTGATATCATGCGCGCGTATCGCTCTCGTATCATACGCGTATCGCTCTCGTCTCATACGCGTATGTTTTTCGTCTCATACGCGTTTCATACGCGTACTGTATGTTAACAAATACGCGAGCGGTACTGTAGAACCTTATACAGCACAACTTGAAATATTTAAATTAAACCTATTTTTACCACGGATTCTCACTGTCAAAGACATTAAAACACGGACCTGTGCGCTATAACAAAAGTTGACTGTAGCTAAAATCATGACGTCATATGGCTACGACAAAAAAGATTGTCCCAGTTCCAGTTTCTGAAGGAGGCCCGGTTTAGTGATACTAACCTCCGTTTCTTGATAATTTCCCTTTAGAAAAGCGTTAGCAATTGCCATAGATTCCACCATAAATGAACATGTCACAAAACTGTAAATAATAAAAAAAAACTTATGGTTTCGTCGAATTTATGGAATGACACAAACGTGCGAAACAAAATACCGAAGAACGCACATTGAATGGCTATGAGTTTATCTAAACATGCAACAAACGTACGTAGCTACTACGAAAACAGATCGTATAGTGGAATTAGGTAATAGGTTTTAATTCGGCTATGCAGAGGACAAAATTGCAGGGTGTACAAAAAAGCTTTCAGAAAATAAGTCTTTAGATTCGCACTCAATTCACTCGACTCTGTAATGCTGCCTTTCCTCATATTAACGTCCGCTTTGTTTTCGTTCTTCCAAGCGTAGGTAAGGTAAGTAGTTTATTAAAATATTAATTGCAGCCTTGCGGCTGAATTACAAATATCTAAATTAGTAAAGTTATAATAACAAATAATATCTAATATCTAAAATACAAATAAAATACAATAAAATTTTACAAAGTATTTACATTTATTAAATTTACAATTATAAAAATGGTCTCTCCTCTCTCCTCTTTCTTTCCTTTTAAGGACAAGGTTCCCAAATTCCAGAGATCTGGTGTTGTATACTCATTTAAGTCTCGATGCTGCTCTGCATCGTATGTGGGTCAAACCACGCGTCATTTACACACCAGAATAACGGAACACTTGGGAATCTCTCCCTTAACATGGAAACCTTCCTCTTGTCCACCACCATCTGCAATTCTTTCACTTATAAGAAACACATCTCACTCTGCCGATTTTAATGACTTCTCAATTCTCTCTTCTTCCTTTGACATTTATGATTATATGATTCATGAAAGCCTTCTCATATCTAAGCTTAAACTCTCTCTTAATACACAAGGCAACTCAATAGCCCTTCACCTTCTATATTATACTGTCCTTTTCATTTTGTTCTGATATCTAAACTTCCTACTCTCTTTATATGTAATTTAGCACCCTCTAATATATGCTTGTATTTAAAACCTAATGTATAAAATTCATCTCAATTAATCTGAAGATGTCTTAAATTATGTGTACTTGTATATGAGCATTGTGTGATGCCCAATTCACATAACACAAACTATCCGGGGTGTAACCAAGGTTAAAATTAATCCAAGTATACTCCAGGTTATTTTGTTTCGTGTAAACACTACTAACATAGGTTTAACCTAGTTTAAATATGGGTTGAGTTTAACCCAGGTTAAACCTGGGTTACTTGTGCTTACACGCAAAAAATTAACCTGGGTTAAATCGGGGTTACTTTATGTCGTGTGATTAGGGAATAAAACTCGTTATAACTAAATCTTTGTTGTATGCCAAAAAAAGATTCTCGTAAGCAGTGACGATTTATGCCTAGAAGCCTTTGAAAAAAAGAGCTTTATAAAGAAATGAATTGTAATGTTTTTGAAATTTACAAAGCCTGACCGAAACTTGCAGGCTGGCTACATAGAAAAGACGTTTTTGCAGGCAACTGTATTTTAGCCACAGCTTTTGATTGTGAAATTCTTTTCAATGGTATTTGCCCTTTGTTGGTGATCAATGTCAGTTGAATCATGCACACTTTATATGTCAAGTGATTTCAGAGTGTTGCAGTTTTGTTGACACACTTAGTATTTACCAAATCCTTTCTTGTGCATTTTATAATTTCCAAAAGTGGCTGCAGGCAGGAGTTAATGAAATAGTTTAAACATTTTAAGCAAAATTTTTACACTTTTTATGCAAATTTATAAACTGTATTGAATCAACAAGAAATTTCAAAGACTATAGACATAGTATTGGTAAGAAAAAAATTTAACAAATCACTGCTAAGCTGTTTTTACAAAGACTTCACTCAAACCTATTATTTTGCATTATTATTATTATTTATATATATTCCGTTCTTGATGCTTAATTCAAAGTTGAGATGTGCTACAATTAATACTGTCTCAAGTTGGATGTGCCACTGGTTGTTTGCAAATGGTTAATAAAATGTTTCTCACCTAAGAAAGGCAAGTGTAACAACAACAATGGCTGATAGCAGAAGGCCAGCTTCACTAAAAGCTCTGGGTAATGTCAAGGCACCTGCTCCAACAATCAAATTGAAGATATAAACAAACCCAGCCTAGGAAGATAAAATCGTATGCTCAACCATGACAAAGTTGATGAAAAGTAAAAAAATACATATCGATATAAGGTAGGTGAAATGGCCTTTAAACAAAAAGCTTTAAAGTAAAAACTATTTCACTAAGTAACCAAACTTAATTTGATTTCTAACTCAAAAATTATTTATTTCACCTAAAGAAAAAGTATGCTGTCCATGCAGAGCCAGAGATGTCTGTCAGACATCCATTGTCTGCTACATTGCAAAGTGTAAAAAATAGAATGTGCCAATTCATTTGAATGATTTATCAAAACAAATGGTAGCCACACAAAAAAAATTCCATGTCTTGAATGACTAATCACATTCTAGAATAACACTTGCTGTTTATCAAACTTCCATACTCATATCCTAATCTTAAATACATTCACTATCCAACGTCATCTTATGTCAAAGTCTTTTGAATGTCAAATACAAACAAAATAAGTGTATAAAGCAAGCATTTATCCTTTAGAAATTCTTTTATGACTTTAGAAAACCAAGGACAAACTTCAATAACACATTATCATATTCATTGTGCGTACGTACTTCAAATTCCGTCGAACATAAATTTATAAGTACATCAAAATCTAAGGTAATAACATTTGTACTTACAACTGAATTGTACTTGTCATCCGACGTTGCCATTGCCTTCAGTAGCCGATTTTAGCTACGAAGCGATCGCTGAAATAGTCAAATGTTCATTTGTTGATACGTAATGATTTGTGATTAGTTGTTCAAGTAGCCATGTTCATTGTTCAAGTAGACATGTTCATTGTTCAAGTAGCCATGTCATGATACAATTTTCATGTTTTGTTTCACTTCCTTCAATTCTTTTTCCTTTGATCTTAGTAAGTTACTGGACTGAATCGATTCAGACCGATATGAATTAAAATGAATGTCTGTTTGTCAAAAAATGCAAGCAAAGCACCATATAATCTGCAGTTCACAAAGCTTTAACGATAATCTGACTGTTAACGAGCTTGATTTGATTCTTCTTTATAAAAGTGAAGACAAAAGGAAACCTTTATTTTCTTGGTGCCTGGGGTATAGCGCTATCCAATGGATCGCGAAAATTTTCAAACTTGTAAAAAAGGTGTTATATTTTTCTCACGACAAAGAAATTTTGAAATCTTCGAAACAATATTTCATTTCAGCGATTGCACAGTTCAAATCACATATTTTTTTCCTATAAGAGATTTTATGAACGTTCAGAAAATTTGCTATCCAGTGGATAATGCTATCCAGGCTTTGTGCAACCGGCCCCTGGTCTTTTCTTTGTATTTCACGTCCCTTGATAAGGTAGAAACGTTTATATAGCAATTATCAATGCAAACTGCCAAAGACCCATACAGACGAGGCAGCACTGTTATGCTGTTGAATGATGGCTCTGTTCTCTTTCTTGTCAAGGTCTTTACTCTTGTTTCAGGTAACAAGAGTAAAAAATGTCGGATTAAGTGCTACTAAAAGAACATAACTTTGAACTTTCTCAGCTACCTTTTGGAAACAAAGAGTTTCTATTTTCACAATTTGGTTGTACGATTAGCGAGTCTGTTGGTTGAGAAGTCTAATTAATTCCTAATTTCCTTTCAGAGTTTTGACTGCATAGGGTAAAAGAACATACTTGAGTGGCTTCTGATACCCTCGTGTAAGACATTAGATAATAACTTGGCGGATTGACTAAACATAAAGCTGTGTGTTGTTGGAGATTGCTATAAGTTTGCCACTGCTCACATGAACTGTTCAAAGTGATGTGTTAACTCAGAGCATTCAATGTCAGATGGATGATACGTTCAAGAAAGTGCTACAAAATAATTTATATTTAAAATCAAAAATCAAGTCAAAAATAATCCTGTTTTTCATTGACATGCTTTCTAAAACGATCGTCCACTTTAATTTGGGCGACCTGTATTAGCTCATGGTTGCTGTTCCTTTCAACCATTTGTCCTTTTCAAAGAAAATGCATTTCGCCTTGTTTATTTTGGGTGTTGTTAATACTCTCTGTGGAAATTTTGTAACCCGATATAATTATTTCTGATTCACAAAATTTATTTTGAAATAGCTTCAAGGTCTCTCTTCAATGTAAAATGACTACTGCACTTTCTGTGGTATTTTATCGTGGGATTTCATTGTCGAAAATTCCTGCAGCTTTTAACATTAGTTCGTAATTTCTGACTTGAGCAACACGCAGGAAAGTCTTCCAATAGTAAAAGAACCAAAGATTTTTTGAGGAAGCATTTCCGAAGACTCTCGTAATGCAATTTGCCCTCTTTTCGCTCGTAGTATATAAATCAGCTCAGCAGCTGGATCCTCAAAGGCATAAACACGTCTGTGACCATTAGCTATATACACACGCTTCTTAATTGCTCTTTGGTATTATAACCTTACAAACCGTCCCATCTATAAAGTATTTGATTTGTTATAAGAGTTGGGGGACAGTCGATAAAACTGGGCGAAATCCATATATTTTGTACAATGCAGAATTCCCAAATATTACAATCAACTGCATGGCAATTATAGCTATGGTATGACCCCATGTTATTAAGTATTGTAACAGCCGTATTATTAGTTATGACAAACTTAACATGTTTAGCAGCATTTTTTGCAAAAACATTTTAAAGCATAAAAACAGCTAAAGGTTCCATTACATTTAGGTTCATTATTGGTTCAAATGGAAAATAGTGTTTTTTCCTTTCAAGTTGACGATATCATAAACAAAATGAAAAAACTTCGTCAAAAATATAAAGGGGAGAAAGATAAGACAAATAGGAGTGGAACTAGAAAAATGAAGCCAAGGGAATATTTTTCTAAACTGGATGCAATACTTGGAACAAGACACAACACAAAAACCCCCGTAGTAATGGACACTTCGTTTGTAGAGTACGGAAATGATAATATTGCTAGTGATAGTGAAGGAGACCATGAAAGTGGAAATGATGGTGTGTTTTGCTTTTATTGTCATTTACTATAATTTGTAGTAAACAAAATTCATTTTGACAGATGACTTTCGGCAATATGCCATGCAATATTTGGATGTATTGTGAAATTAGATGACAACATTCTAATATTTATTCTTTTCATACACTGGTAAAGCAGGTGAAAAAGAGAACATTCAGCCTGAAGAAAGCCTAAAAGATGTTAATGAAACTCAAGATGGTTTTGAAATTACTCAATTTGATGATTAAAAGCCGTATAAGCAGTATAAAAAGGCAGTCGACATGGGAATCAAGTAAGCTACCAGTGGCTAAAAGAAAGAAAATCAGTAATTTCAAAAATTGCCATGATGTGCATAGCTTTGAATGAAACATCTGAAAGAGAAATGGAGAGGTAAGACCTCAGTGTTACCTCATTGGAAAATATTTTACAATTATCCAAAAAGAATTTTTTTTGATAATATTTACAACTACAAAACATTTCTGCTTCATTAACATATCTCAGTGGGAACTACGCATTGAATTTTGAAAACTGTTTGATTCGTGGAAAAGCTTTAAGTCAGGACAATTAATCCCCTTCTACAAGACATCGCTTGCTTTTCTGTTTAGTACAATTTTTATGTGCTTAAATTATCTCTATTTTGTTTGTGTATTTAGACGTTTAATGGCAGAGAATGAAAGGTATCAGAAAAAAATGGATTTCCAATTAAAGATGATGGAGCTGGAAAATCAACGTAGACTTCAAGAAAGGAAACATGAAATAAGAGTCAGTGGCCTTCTTATGGGAAATAATAAACAAACTCATAATGTACCCCAGACGTTTATCCATTATCAAAATCCGCCACCAACCAGTTTTAGTGGTTTTTCACCAAGTTCCTAATATATCAACCAACTTAGTACAATTCCATTAAATGTATCTGATGACTCTTCTGACACTAGTTCTTCAGACAATGTGGATGGTTTGCGTTCGTACTATTCCCTTTGATAGTATATGTTAATACATTATGTATTCATTATGTTCAAGATTTGTTACGATTCAAAAGCATATAAATACATTTTATAGTAGTTTAAGAGTGAAGTAACTTCGATTTCAACTTAATTGAATATTTTAATCGTCCTGATCCAATGTCATGACCCACAGCTGACATAAGGAAGTTTGCAAAATGGTCTCTTAATATAACAGAATCATCTTGAGAATGAGTGTTGTCCAAAGAATCTGGTTGAGGAACGTTTTTGTTGCTTGGGTCGATTCCTCCATCAAGTTTAACTAGTCTCTTCATTATTCAGTTCACATATATTGTGTAATATTCATGATGCAGCAACAACAATTATAAGATTACTTTTATGATAAAAGAGTTCTGAATCCACCGAATCGAATTGTTTGACACCATTTTGAATTTGAATTTTTGGCGGCATATTGTATATTGTCTCGTATATTTCCCTTCAGCTGTGGAGTTTTGTTTATCACAGTAACACTTCTGGGCCACCGTACATGACTACTCTCTTAAGGAATCTACGAAATCTCCCCTTCCATCGACCGAACCATTTTCCACTGTAACCCTAGCCATGCTTAAACGACAATTAAAACTTCTATGCAGTCGTAATATATTGGGGTTTTCCGGATATGGTTTTAAGATATGGTTTTATGGTTTTAAGGTAGTAAGGGATAAGCAGGATCTCCAAGAATAACAGGACGGACAAATTTCCATCCAACGTTGCCTCGCTTATTTTCAGGCAAAAGTTTGCTTTGTTCCCCAATTTTAAAAATTTCGGAATTTGATGATGCATCACGAACACTGCCTGGTCAGCCGCTGACAATATTCTGAAATAATTATCTACAGTCAACGACCGCATGCATAACAACACTATGATATCCTTTACGGTTGACATAATCAGCATGATTCATTTTTGGAGCAAGGATGGGAATATGTGTACGTCGATGGCCCTAAAACAACCAGGAAATCCCCATTTACTGTTGTAAGTATCTAAAATATCTTCCAATTTGTGTGCTTTAGGTAAATGGATAAATGTTGATCTCAGTTTTTTAACTACTACTGTGCACACATCTTATAACACACCGGTATAAAAATTATCTTGACACTCCAAATAAGTTTGCAACTGTGCGATACTCCGCTGTTGATGATAAAAAATAGAAAGTTATGGCGACTCTTTTTTGGCACAGAAATAGGCCTACGTAGGATTGTTGTTTTTCGCTTGATATCATTCTCGATTACTTCACGAACAAAATCAAACGTTTTTCTTGTAACTCTAAATTTTTCGTACCACTGCGCATCAGTATAAAACGTATCTGCCATACGAAACCACGCATCTGTACGTGGATGCATCCATACTTTTCGTTCTTTGGGTGCTTTTAAAACAAGACACATGAAGGCAATTAATCGAATTTTTTCATATATTTTTCTTTCATTTTTCTAATCATATTTCTGTGTTTTTTCTTACATCTCAACACCTTATTTTCCCAATGAAGTTCACTGTTCTTTTTGATTTCTTGAGTATAAAATAAAATAACCTTTTCGTCAACTTGCGCCGCCATATTGCTTCTGACTAAACAATGGACTCAGCATGCCTAGTTCAACATTTACCTACGTTTTTACCGTATTCGGCACGGACAAAGATTGTTGGCACGGCACATAAGAAGCCAAATGTAAACGTGCCGTGCCGTGTTCAAACTAAAATCATCCGTGTCCTGAAATAAGAAAAATTAAAAAATAATATGTATACTCTAATTTGCAAGAATATCTGATTGTTAAAACAGGAAAGTATATACATGAATTTGAAATTTTGTATTGTCATCCAGCCCAGCTTATATCAATAACTTTAAGATTGAAAATTATAGAGAACTTTATTAAAAATTAAAACCTAATCAACTAACTAAAGATTGGTAAGATTCAGTACACATGCTCTTATGCGGCGCTGCATGCTTGCTCGACACGTATGTAAAATGTACGTACAAGTAATGTAACATGTCTAAACTAGAATCTCATTTTGCTTTGTAAATGTTTTATTTCCGGGATTTCATTACAGCAAACTCGTTAATTATCGACGAAATGTCAATGCCACGAAGCAGATAATTTTCGATGCTAAGTAAAACAAGGCTGTTTAATTGCTCCTCTGTCATACATGATCGTAGCTGATTCTTGATTAGCTTAAGTTTAGAAAAGGACCGTTCTCCAGAACAGTACGAGATCATGAGACTAAGATAGATCCACAGTGCAATTACAGTGTTCGGAAATGCAGTTTCCTGATTGTTCTTCAGAAGAAGTCTGTACATGCACAATTCCAATGAATCCGCGTCAATTGTGACATCATTGCTATCTTTCGCTGTGTCATCTTCGCCGTCAGATTCATCAGATGATGTTTCGTTCATAGCTGCTAAACAAGTTCCAGAAACATTAGTTACGTCTAATGATTTCACAGCAAAATGTATGATGAGAAAACCAGAAAACTGTAATACTTCATCAGACAATCCGGCTTCTAGATCTACCGGGTAACCCTCTAGAAGAATCTTGGCATTTTCGTTCACTTCTGCAACTGAAAATTTCTTGAGCTTTCATGGAAAGCCAAATCTTGCAGCAATTCTGATGTATGCGCTCAGTCGTTTCCACAAATCAGCGTCAATTCTGTCGACTATGACAAGGAACGTATCCGTACGGAACTTATTGGCAGAGGATTGCAACACTTCGGGCGCTGATCCTGATTCGTCGCAACGGCGATTTCTCTGTCGCACCCGTTTCTCGTCACCGACGTAATGGTCACATTGACTGAGCTTCTTCCCCTGAGCCTCAAACTCTTCGAATCTTGCGCGTTGCTTACTGATAAAATCCATAAGAAATTCATAGATTGCAACTGTAGAGTTGAGATCTTGGTTGGCCGAATGCAAGGCTTGACTGTTCGCATGAAAACGATGCAGGATGTGATGCCACAGAACTGCCAGAATCCTGGTTTCGAGTTGGTTCTTTTTAGCTGCAAGTCCACGGGCTTCCTCTCGAGTTTCGGGTTTCTCCTCTTCGTCGTCTGTGATTTCTACCAACGCGTCATTAATTTCATCATAGCCTTTGACTAGAGCCTTTGTGGCGTCTACGCGTGCTGACCAGCGAGTATCTGACATGCGTTTGACAGTTGGCAGGCCCTCGCTTGACAGTTGATTCATCAGAACTATCCAACGATGAGGTGGAGCTGAAAAAAAGAGATATAGTCCTTGAAGGAACCTGAAGAATCCAATGGCTGCCGTGCAACAACCTACTGCAGTCTGACCAACCAGATTGATGGAATGTGTGGCACATGGTACATACCCTACCAGATTACATTGTTGAATAATGGCCTACATGCCATTATATTTTCCGCTCATATTGATTACATTATCGTAAGACTGACCGCGGCAATCAGCAATAGCAATGTCATGGGCTTTCAGAAATTCAAGCAAGCTTTCTGCTAGTTCGCTTCCAGTGTGACCTTGCATTTCGAGAAAAGCTACAAATCGCTCAACATGCCCTGATAGTAAAGCATACCGAAGAATCCAGGAGAGTTTGTCAAAATGGGAAATATCAAGTGTCGAGTCCACAGAAACTGAGAAATACTTGGCGGACTTCACCTCCGTATCAAGATGCTCCCGTACGCGATTTGCTAGCAAATGGACCATTTCATCGCAAATTGTCTTTGACAGATAGGAAGTGTGACCCCGTCCCTTGTTTACGGTACATTTGATATGTTGCGCAAGAAATGGGTCGAATATAGCCAGCATTTCCAAATTAGTTACCGTTTCTGGGTGATCCGATGATTTCATTTGAGCCACGAAATGGTAGACCGCGTTCAGATAGGCAACAGATAGATTCTACTATCCGTTGAAGTACAGCACGCCAATAATCGCGTTCTGCGTTGACCTGTTTAACTAGTTCCGACTCAACATGGCAACCAGCATCAGTTTGTTGGAGCAGATGAATCTCAGCCTCTCGGTGCACTTTTTTGGTGCAATGGAATTTTATTCGATGCGTGTTTCCAATCGTTATATCCTTGCTCTCTAAAAACGTTACTGTCGTTCATCAGTTTACATGCAAAGCAGAACACTGCATGCTTAGATGGCGAGTAACAGAGCCATGTTGGAGGTTGTTGCTGTTTGTTGAGCTCATGCGTATATCTTCATTTAATTTCAAACACCGCACTGCATATAACATTCTTACTCATGTGTGTATGTAAACAAGCTTTTCTGGCACTGGCGTTTGTAATTATCTCCCACAGATTTTCTGGAAGATGCGCTAAAATTTGCATCCAACTTTCTACATTTGCTACTTCCTTTTGCTACCCAGTGTTCTTTCATACTTTCTGAAATATTGGGAGGTTACATACCTAAATCACAGGAATAGGCGTTAACTGCAGATGTATCACCAGAAAGAAAGGCCAGATGTTATTGTCAGCGTTTCGTCAGATTGTTCCTACACGGAATCTGTCACTATTGTCGCATTCATGGCCGTATTACTAATGGCCGACTCAGCAGGATTGCATGTAGATTGCAAATCTGTAAGGGCCTGTGCGCTTCAACCAGTTGGGTTGCGGTCACAATTGCCAACGCGAGTCTTTGGAGAAAACAGTGTGGATATCTTAAGGACTTTATCCAAAAATTTACTTTCCCGTGCAACACGTTCTTCTTTTGCCTTGCGTTTTGCCGCTCCAGACACATATTTGCGATTTTATCCCGGTCACGGCTACCGCCACGTCCACCTTGGGAACTCACAGAGCATACAGCTCGTAAGACTCCTCTGTAAAAAAGACGAACACTTTTCGTTTTAAGCCTTTCATTTATTTTACAAACGGCAAGTAAATTACATCTCTGAAGTATTTCTACGCTATCTATTACAATTAATTACTTGCATTTATTTATAGTAACGGTAATTACTACAAAACATAAGTCGGGCCTGCCTTTTATGTCATTAGCAGTACTCACTCCTTCATTGCGTTTCAAGTTCTCACGCGTTGCAACAAAAAAGAAGAATTAACTAAACAAACAAAGAGTCATTTTTGGAGTTACGTTATTTTATATTGCGGGTCTGGGGCCTTATTTCGTCCACCAACGCACCGAAAAAAGTTAAAACTTAAAAAACGCGGGGGCCCGTTAGCGGACGCTCCATCTGCCATATGGTTGATCCGGCCCTGCGTTGGACATGCAGTATTTATGGTATTACTCCTTGTGTACATTCCATTTACAAATTAGGCAGACATGTTGCATATTTAATCTTATAGTGAAGGGGTATGGTGAAATTATAAAAATACTGATAAAATTTATTGTCTGGACCAGAGTCTGCATACAAAGTGCATGATGAGTCTTATGACAGTTTTCATAAAGGCAATTTTTGTGAATTTCTTGAAATTTTGCATGGTTTCACTTTACAGAAATCTGGTTACATTGTTTGTATGATTATTTGACAATTATGGACAGTTAACTGGAATCTTACCTAGCTATTCTAAGTAATTTCATTTATGGTCTAAACATGATTATACAAGATGAATTCTAAATGATATGGATAGTTGCAGTTTTTCTCAGTAACTTGGAGTTAACTGAAGCATCTGGCAAAGAATAATTGTGTTGTATATGTTCTATTAAAAGGTATTGACATTTCAGAGTGAGAGCTTCGGTTTGTGTATGTTAGTTTTGACAGAAAAAATTGAGTTGCTATAGCAGTGTGAACATTAATAATGTTGTCTTTACTATATCTGCTCGTTTTAATGGTGCTAGAGCATTGTTGTAAACAAAATATCATTTTACTTTTATATTTCGTGCTTAGCTCATAAACTGGTTTTGTTGTATAAAGCTGTATTTTTAGTTCACCAATCAAGGTTTTTTGCAAGCTATTGATGCTTTTTGTCCGTTTACAAGAAAATCCAAAGATAATATTAATTATGACTGTATTTGGACTAAGTTTCTCACTCATGGTATATGCATAAATATATAGCTCAGGTGTGTTATTTATGAAGATTTGAAAATGTTTGAAGATTTATAAATATTTTGGTTTTAAACTCCCAAAAAGATGTGATGATAGAATATTGTGACTGTTCAAAAATTGAATTTTACTTCATACTTGACATGCACATGTATATCAGAATAGTTGTGGTTGCATTATTATTTTATGGCTTTATTGTGAATTAATAAATTTTGAGGGCAATTACTAACATTTCTCCTTTAACATAATGTCATTCATTATCATTTTACAGTCAAAAAACTAAAAGTTGCTTTAAGTTTAGTGTGAGTGAACTTAATATTTGCATGTAGAGTCAAGGCCACTAAAAATGACGATGAAGTTGAAATTTTAACCTGAGACAGTAATTTTTATTTTTATTTGTTAGAAACTTATATGCTGTTTGTTTCTATTATAAAAATTGTACATTAAACTTCAATAAAGTACTTATGTCTTACTATACGTAACATTAAAATCATGACGTCATAGAGCGTGGATCTGCATACAATAGCGTGAGCAAAATTTTGCTTTCGTCATTCAAAACCGACTTCGTTGTACAAACTGCCCATATCCGAAAATTTGTTGTTGGTATAAGGCCTCCATGCTTCAACCGTCGTGCAGACTTTCATAACACCTCGTTTTAGGAATGCAAAATTATTATAGGAGTAATCACTAGAAACTGAGTATAATATTCAAACAAAACATCTCCTAACTTTTGTTCGTTAACAAATGCTTATAAACGTTTACAAATGCTTATCAAATCAATAAAATGAAGTATCAATACATTACATAAAAAAAATGCTATCAATAAATATTCTTAATCGAGAACAAATTGCGTGAAAGAATTATTTTGGACTATTTTTACTGATAATTACAAAAAGTAAATTCAAACTTTTAAACAAATTAAACCATAATTGTTCGACAAACTTTCATATGAATTGAATGTCATCATTTTAACTAACGTTGCTATGCGAGTGCACAATTTGTTGATTTTATATCAACATTGCTTAGAAAATGATAAAAATCATCTTTTTTGTATTCTTTCCATGAGCCGTTTATTTATTGTTTATTGTCCAATTTCGTGAAACTCTATCATATATTAATAGAAAAAATGTCCATTCTATTAACATAAATATACTTCTGAACAGCTCTTGCAATTTTCTTATTCAACTGAATTTTTTCCATTCCTTCGAATCCTGAGCCACCTCTAACTTTTCCAAAAAACAGCTCTGAAAACGTTCCACTTACAAACACAGAGATTGCAGAAACAATTGTAGAAGAGTCGTATGTCTCATCAAACAAAAGGATTGCACTTAAAGCAATCGAAAGAAACCCTATGATGGCCAGCACTTGACAACTTAATTTAAAAATCTCATTTGAAATGGGTAAAACTTCATCAGAAACAAACTCGAATAAATCTAAGGGTATTGACGTTTTTACTTTATACTTCATAGCAACTACCTTCTTCATGTATTTGTACTTTTCTTGAGTGTTGCAATAGCACTTGAAAATATTTCTGGAAAGAACTATTGCAAATGTCAAGTAGGGAAGAATAAAATTTACATTAAGGATAATTCCCATGATTACAAACCCAAAAGTTCTAACGGCAAACTGACAAGAAAAGATTACAAGGATTGTAGCGCTAAAAGTTGAATAAAGTCGTAACACTGTAATAAATCCAGCCCACAAGGGTTTTTTGTTGGAACGCAAAATGATGGCGATGTACACAAAATACGGAGAGAGAAATGTAAGACAAACTAGAGATGCAACGAGGAATATTATCAGTGTTACACACAAAGAAATAGGAATAATAAGTAGCCCATAGAAAAGGAATAAATAGAAGAAATGTCAATAATTGCGTCTGAAATTTTTTTGTCGTTAGTTTGTTTGAGAAAACTCGTAATGTTTCTTACACACAAGTCCTTAATTTTCTTTAAGTATTCCTCAATTAAACAGGCGGATTTATTTGTAGCGTCAAGAGCGTCATTGTAAGCTGCACAGCAAATCTTTCTCGAAAGAAAAAATATCGAAATGAAAGGGATAGCAAAGTAAGGGACGATAAGAATTATGTATACAAGAGGTTTTCAAAATTAAAGACAAAAAGATATGAATTGAAAAATTGAAAAAAGCTTTCTTGCTGTGTCGTCAAATTGCTCCGTACCTTTGATGATTAAATAAAGGAAAAGCTTTATGTAAAAGAACATTGGGATGTACAGAAACCAGATAAGACACAACTTAGTACGAACGTCGATATAGGGGAAAAGAAATATTTCTATTTTTTTGAATAATGAATTCAAATCGACAGGTGTACTATCATCTAATGGCAAAGACGATTGAATAAGTGCTGAAGACATGCCTTTTCCTTCAACAGTTATACTCGGTAAACAGCATAAGATCAAAGGCCAATACAAAACCGCTAACCCAACTAAGAAAGCAAGAATTGAATTAAAAACAGCCAACCATTTACTTTCGTGTACGGGCAGTTCGCAATTAACGGCTATGACATGACTATCCTTCGTAAAAGTTCGTTTACAGCATTTGTATCTAAAGTGACCACCATAACCAAACCAGTACTCATGTAGAACTCTATAACATACCACATCGTTTTCACTTATGGCTGTTCTGTGCTTTGCTTCACCGACTTTGTTTAATACATATCGAGCAATTTCCTGATCATGACACGTTGAGTTCAACCTTTCCAAGCATATTCTTTCTTCGCGAGAAGTAATTTCCAAATTAAGTTCCTTGGCTTGATTTTTTAGCAGGCCAAGGGATAAAACATCGTGATCATACGACAATGCCAGAAGAGGTTCTTGATTGCTTTTAGCCCATGTCCATCTTCTTGACAATATTCTGTTTTGACGGGTAGTATTGCTGGCAACATTTAGATTAAAATAAACAATTCTTACTTCTTTCTTTTCAAGACGAGGAAAGATTTCAGTGATGTTTAATGATTCACCGAAAATTGAGCATCTTGGACAGTTTCTTGCAATAACCAATGCTATGTTAAGAAAAAAAAGCGACATCATGAGTTTTCGTGACATGTTTTGCTGTAGTAAGTACCAGTTTGAATAATTTAAAACAAACTTTCTTTATTAATCATTTACCTTTGACGCAATCCTTGAAGTTCTCAAGTAAGCACATTGCTGAATGGGTTGGGATAAAATGTGGATTGCGGACGAAAAGAATAAAATGCGGATTCCCATAATGCGGGTTAATAATACCTACACTCGAGTTTGTGATTTACTAATGACAAGAAGAACTTGAGAGCATATCTTTTAGCATTACTTTTACTTGACATTTGATCATAGCTTAGCAATATAAAGTTTGCATTCGTCAAGGTAAAATTTGTCCAATTTTTTTTATCAAGAACGCTGTCCGATTGATTCATTAGACATGGAAGCCACGAATGCTGATGTAGTGATAGCTGAGGATTGAATAAAATACCCAGTTCATCAAGAAAAGGAACTTTCCAGTCGTGAGAAAGTGTATGTTATATTCTATCCAGCTTGCAGACTATAAATAGGTAACAGAGGCTGTAATATTGATACAATGCGTCGAAGTAAAAGTAGTTGATCAAGTTTGGATATTTTGGTAGAGTACGGTGTACCGCTAAAATAAATTCGACAGTTACATGTTCACAAACAAAAAAAAATGTCGTGCATAAAATACTTCTCTCATAAAAGAAGCATAATAAACTATAGATCAATAATTAAAATTCAAAAGATTTTGTTCGTTGGGAGGGCATTGTTGTTTTCATAGACTTGAAATTATAAAGCCTATATGTATAAATTATAACACATGTATCGAATATAAATAGAACTTATTTTTATACTTGTTACACAATTGACGAAAAGTATATTACCTCAACCTCAATAACTTACTCATGCATGTCCACACAGCACGACGTTTGAAAACGACGTTTGAAACGGGCAATCTGTATTTTATTCTTTTTATTCTTTTTTTTCTTTTTATTCTTTTTTACTCTTTTTATTCTTTTTATTCTTTTTATTCTTTTATGAGATGCAAGTGGAGGGGAGACGGAAACGAGGACGCCCAAAGCATCGGTGGAAGGAAACAATCAGGAGAGACATGCAGCTATGTGGTGTCAAAGAAGAGGATACCCAGGACAGAGCAGCCTGGAGAAGTCTGATAGAACTTTTATTCTTTTAATCCGCAATCCGTATTTTATTCTTTTTATCCGCAGTACGCATTTTATTCTTTTTGTCCGTCTGTCCGCCTGTCCGTCCGTCCGTCCGCATCCGCATTTTATCCCAACCCGTTGCTGAATGAAATGGATACGGATAGAATTTTAAGTAGATTTCATATCTAAGTTAACCAGTTGTTCGTTTTTGTTTTTTATTTTATGACAATTCTCTTAGCCATAAAAATGGTCGACACCACGCCGAATTGATATAAAGCCTGCAGCACTGATGAAATAAAATTGTTAAAAAAGAATATTTTGTTCGATTCGTGAAGCCAAAACAGAAGATTTGTCATATATAATATTCGTGATAGACAAAATGCGAGAAGAGTAACATAAGTTTGATGTCTATTCACTATGGATTTGCCCCACACTACAGCATGCATGCACATGCAGGTACATAAAATCTTTTATAAGGTTGTGACACATGAGCAATTTTGTAATTTTTTTGCGTAAATTTTTCTAAATTATATATATAAATGTGACGGTAAATGTAAAATTTAAATGCCACGGTGATCAACTTGTATTTCAAAAACTCAGCATGAGTTAATGAACGTATCAAATGTGTAAGATTTATAATTTAAAGCAACAATATTACGTAAAAGTTTTCAGTTTTACACATTCTTTCACGATAAACTGCATGTAAACTAACAAGTACACGTCAGCTAATGACGATCCATTATTAAAATTTTCATGTTTTGTATATATAACAATGTAAATTATGTAATGGTTTTTTTCATCCTACTGTTTTGTTATTTATCATATTAATTAATAACGTCTTCGTTGGAAGGGCATTTAAGATGTTTTATTTCATAGGAGTAAAAAGTGTTTTGGTTTATTCTATTTAGATAGTTTGAAAACACGTCATTATATTATTTAGAGAGGATGATATTACTATAATATCATCATGTGTTGTCAAGTGTTTCAAGTATTCTAGCCTAAAGTCTTTTTTTAATACATGAGCGTCACTTGAACAGCATTTCCTCCGGAAAAATAATTCTTATGTCCGCACGCACGCAATTAAATAATATGAATCAAATGAAGTTGGGTGTAGATAAAAGCGGAGCGGACGGCGGACGCAGACGACAGACGCGGAAGGCGGATGTGAATGGCAGACGGAAACGGAAAGCGCAAAATCACATGAAATGAAAAATAGAAATAAAATCTTTTAATATATTTTCTTACAAAATATAATTGCTCCTATATTAAATTTAGGTACCTATGCGCGACATCCATTTTCATCTTCGCTGGAATCAGTCGATTCATAACCAATTTTTACAATGTCAGAGTACAAACGTTTGGACAAGATGTGCAATCGATGTGATTAAAATATACTTTTAAGATGTAACTGACGCACTAACTAACTTACAACGGCTTCAAACCTCAGCTTTCAAAAGGAAGTTCAAGTTAGAAACTGCAATATACATACTGCTTTGGCAAATGACAAGTTGATAGAAATCATTATCAGTGCAGTAAATATGAACAGGCCTACTCAATTAAATCAAACATGAGTGAAATGCCATTGACAAAACACGAAAAAAATTCAAAACTAAGAACGCAAGGATTGTGTGAAGTTTGAAAAGGCAACTGTGGCTAAATTTTTCAAATTAAAAGTGTTGAGATGGTTTATATCTGACTATGAGGTTTCACTGCGTTGAAAATTGAAATGGGATGAATTGCGAATGATGAAATGAAATGTGCACGAGTGGAGTTCTACAAACCATAAGATATATTCAAGCCTATTACTATAAATGGAGAAAATTATAGACTTGAGGGACAGTTCCTGTACTTTTGAGAGACACCTATAGTACATAAGGTGTATCAAAAGAGACCTATGAATTAAAACTATCGTTGGAATTTTAGACTTTCCACCAAACTACTATGCCTTGATGAACCTTAAATTTTAGTAAACGTGTACATATAACAAAAGTGGGAATTTTAAAGACTAACAAGCCTTTATAGTGAAACTTCCCCTCCCCTATTTTATTGAAGGGATTGATGGAAGTCATATAGTCATTCCACGACAAGCTATGTGGTAGATGCAAATTATAAATTTATGTATTTAGGTATTAAAGCCGTAAGACGTGCATGTAATGGGAGAATCAATTCTAATTCACTTAATCTTTCTTTTTCAAAACTAGGCCGTCCTCTGAGCGTTAAGTATGCCGTCTCAAAACTGATGAAGCTTTGTTGAACACCTTAGAGCGATGCTAGCTTTCGATATTTTCTAAAAACGCACACCATCGATTCTTTTTTAGGACTTCTGTAGACATTTATCAAACTAGTAAGATTTCTTTTGATTTATATATTTTGATTAAAAAGTACTTAAGATAATCGCAACATTTAAGTTACATGATTGTGGATTGGAGATCTTTCTGGACTGTTATATTTAGCTAAATTTTTTTGCTTGGAAAGTGACAATTTGGGCAAACGTAACTAATCACTTCTTTTGGAAGTAGTGGCCAATTTAGGCAGGGACAAAACTATAGAACCCTAATTTGGGGGTTTGGGAGAAGGTTGTATTTATATACTCAGTTCTGCCCCGCAGATTTCTTTTGTTGCAATTTTAATTTCAAATTAATTTCAATTTCACGACTGATTTTTTGTGATACGTGCTGAGACTGCAGCGACTGCTTTAAAATCTGCTGAGGAAGTTATAAGCGATAGGCTGCTGATTGCAATGGTTCTGAAAGGGGGCTTCCGAAAAAATATAAAACGTTTTGCAACTGTGGTCATCCAAAGGAAAAAACAAATGACTTTCAGTGACTTCAAAACGACGTTGAGAGATTACGACGAGAACGAAAAATCGTGTGAAAAAGATGAAACCGATCGAGTTATGTTTTCAAAACAGAATCAACGATTTGAAAGGAAATGTTTAACGTGCAGCAAGAAAAGTCATAAAAGTTCAGAGTGTTGGATGAAAAACGGAAAAGGGTGTGTCAAGTGCAAAAGCAAGACTCACAATACAAATGAGTGCAAGGCAACGAAGAAGGACACAGTGAAGAAAGTCAAAGAGAAAACAACAAAAGACAAACATTCATTTGCATTCACAACACAAGAGTACAAAGACAGAAGAAGAAGAAGCCAAGGAGATACAAACTTGCTAGTGGACAAGTCACATAATTTATGACAGTCCAAATTTGAAAGTTTTGATAAAAATTTTGATAGCAATACTCATTTTATTGAATTCGCTGATGGGAGTAGAGCTAATGTTGTATTAGGAAAGGAATATGCTAAGGTTAAGTTATTTGATTTTAAGGGTAACTTGCATGATGTAATCTTGCATAACGCGCTCTATATTCCGACGTACAATCAAAATATCTTTCAGTATCAGCAGAAATAGATAGAGGAGGCAAAATAAAATTTGGAAGACAAGTAAGTGAATACAAAACAGAGGAAGGCAGCGTATTCAAACTTGAGAAGAAAAGTCGATTATATTACTTAATTAGTATTTCTAGACCATAGACATTGACGTTGAACATTAAATGTGATCATAACAGTTATCTGTAATATCTCTATTTGTTGGTGTAAGTCAATATATACTAAAGAAGGTAGAAGGATACTTTACAAAACCTAACAGGTTGAACTTGCAAGATGCAACAGGCTGGTATGAAATAAAGATTATCATTGCCCATATGCATGACGCCAAAAGGAAAGCTGTTTGGTCTTAAGCTTCTACCCCACGTTTCTCAAAGATATATTTTTGCTAATTTCTATTTAATTTAGCCTAACTTGAGACAAATTAAGATGCGTTAAGTTTAATACATATAAGAGGTACGTAGCCCACCTAGGTTGAATTTCTGGCGCTATTCTTGTCGCTACACCAAT